AACCATACAGTAACATTCCGGTACCATCCGCCGACCCCGGCAAGCTGCAAGCTGGGGCCGAGCGCCAGTGAAGAGCTTCTTCTGGTTTCGCGCACGTCGGATGTCGGATGGTGGCTCGGTGCTTGGGGGGGAGCTTCGGGTCTAGGCGAGTTCAGGGTTCACCTTCCGGTTTCTGGTGCGAAGCGGTACGGGGCGCAGGCCGCACAGGCTTTTCGTTCCCATGCGCAAATTTGGCATGAAGCACGAGCCGGGCTGCATGCTCGCAAGCACCCGCGTCTTGCATGTGTTTCGGCTCAGGGGGTTTCGGGTTTCGGTCGGCGTTATACAGCAAGGGAACCACCTCTGCGTGGCACTCCCGCTTAGGGACGCAGACGCACACAGCCCTTGCCCTCGTCGCAATCTGCTGCGCGTGGAGTCTGGCGCTTTTTCGGAGTCGTTAAGGGCGGCGTTAGCACTTGGACGATGGGTTTCTCGAAACTGTATCAGCAGCAGTCTGTACGATGGCTTTGGAGGACATTGCATCAAGTTGCATGGCGCTGCATTTAAACCAAGCCCCACCAGCAACTGAGTGTCACGACGTCATACAAATGTCATCGAAGACCTCATAGGCCTGTTTCCTTTGGCAGAATCGGCAAAGTTCAAGAGGTCATGGCATTGCCAGGAGAGCCCATGCACTCTGCGCCAGAATGCCCATGATCAATGCAGCTCGGGCGGCAGAATGTCGAGTGGGATCCTCGACCGGATGCTACTGCTACAGCTTTTGAACCCTGCACGCAATGCAATGCACCCAACCTCAGCTGCTTCGCCAATCCAGACCTCACTGCATGCCCACACCCTCCAACAGTTTTTTCTTCAACTGTGCGCAAGTGTGAGGGCAGTGATGGGCAGTGTGAAGGCAATTTCGGCATCGGACACTCGATCGGGAGGCTTGTCTTCCTCGTACTGGGGAACCTGAAGAATGGTCAGGTTGCACTTTGTTGCAAGTCGCCTCTTGATCCCGAAACCTCCTTCACGTGCATCGTCAGGCCTGGCAAGTGACAAGATGCGACAAGTTCCCTGGAAGTCACAAGCGAGTTGCTCAGGTCACACCACAGCAGGGTGAATTGCCTAGCGACTGAATATCACTGGCAATGCCGGCCATGCCCTTGCTTGCCTCACGAACAAATTGAAAGCATTTAGCGTCCGGCGCCAACGCCCTCCTACACATTGAACCCCTCAGTACAACACCAAGCTGCCTTTGTACATTCCGACAAAGACTTTGCAGGCCGCACCATGACGTATGTGTTTGGGTTCTGGAGCCATGATGTTCTCAGAGCGTCTCATTTCATTGCAATGCACCTCTCCCTGTGATTACCCGTTTGCCTGCGACTGGTGACGCTGTTGTCCAGCGCCATGCGCATGGCCATGGCCGTGGCCATGCTGTGGGTCCTCCACTCCAGATCTCAAAATAGGTCCAGGCTAGTTAAGGCACCGCAATGAGATTGAACTGCATAGTTGACAGGGCTGAGCTGCCTTTCGCACAGTGTTGGAGTCACCGGCTGGGCCCTTGCCACGTTTCATGACCCGGTACTTTTGTTGACGGCTTGCACAGGACTGACTGGGTGCTAAGTCCTGTGATGGAAAAACATGTCTCTGCTTGCCTTAGCAGCACTCTCGGCGTCGGCCTGTGCTCGAACAGCACTGCAACAAACAACATGGATGACATGCAAACATACGCAAACCACACCGCGCCTTTTTCGAAGCTTCATAAAGAACCTTGAATCAACACATCCCTCCCAGCTGCTGTGGCTGCGCGTGTTGTTTGTGTGCTCCTAATTGCAACTGCTTCTGGATGTGTTGATGAAGACGGCATCGTGTGAAGTTACGGATGTTGCCGCGGGCAGCCTCCGTGTTTGTTTGCCCCCCCTTAGATTCCCTACAGTTCAATTCCTTCATGCACAGCTACTTAAGAGAGTACGTAGTTTTTTCAGGCGAAGGCAGGTGAGGATGTGGAGTTCTTGCAAGGCAATAACACTCCCATCAGCTGCTCTTGCAGAATGCAACAGAGTCAAGCACGAACAGCATGTAAGGTTCCCACACTCACTCGCCTCGTCACAACCGGTATGGGGCTGTACCAGCCTGCACATCCATCAACTCATTTCAGCAAGCACACTGCAGAGAGAACTTCATCCTGCAAATTGCCTCCGGACGGCGACGCTTGTGTCGGAACTGGCTGCCATGCAGCAAGACTCATGCACTCTGGAATGACAAGTCAGAGTTCGCTGCTAAGCTCCGTGCAAGCTTTGTTTCCGGGCGTCGAGGAGCGTGCCCTTCCGAAGGGGACCAAAGTGCAAAGAGAACAGGAAGATGCACGGCACTTACGCTCCCCCGAAGAAGTCCCACGCACAGGGCCTCGCAAAGCGTGGTCGGCGCTTGCCACCTTGGCGCTTGGTCGGTCAAAGGAGTCAAATCTTTTTGGTCTATCCGAGTCTATCCGACTCATGGCGGTTGAGAAACCGGCTAGGCATTCTCCTGGGATCGGCTTCGGGCTCGTGCTTCTTCTGGCCTCGGGCTAAGAAGGTGGACAGCCAGGTGCCCTCAAACAGGCCAGCCTGGGCCCTAGCCTGCACCCTTGCCTTCATCCAGGCTGCCTCACATTCAGACAATTGCACACAGAATCTGCGCAACGCTGCAGCGCCTTTGTGCGTTTTTGGCTCGCTTCGGCCAGGCTGAGCGAGTGCCGTCGCAAGTCGCGCGACATCGTCCTCGAGCCTGCACTCCAAGACTGCCCTACCCTGACCCATTATCTAGTCTCGTTGTCCTGATTTTGTTGAGTCTCGCCTGGGGGCCTCTGGCAGTTGCCGTGCTCGAAAGTCATGGCGCGGCTTCAGAGACCTCATTTGTCTGTAGCAGGCTAGAGCGGCTAGAAGCGGCGCATCATGGTTCCCGACGCAATCTCGGCACTCAGATGCGATGTGCCGTGTGTGCTATTGTGTGCTTATGCTGCTGAGGCTTTGACTGCCGTTTTTGTTTCCTCAGTCTGTCAACCCACCATGCGACATCACCAAAAGTCTTGCGCGCATAGCGTGGTTGTAAAGCCTGCACATTCTGCCAATCTCCTACTCATCAACGAAGCTCCACACAAACACAACTCGCCAACTAAAGTAATCCAGAGCAAGCACGCTTGACTTTACCAAAGAGCTTCACTGCCACCGAGGCACCGGAATGAAATTCTGAAACTTGGACCTGAACAACGAACACCGATCAAAAGTTTTCAAGGCGGGCGAGTCAACCGATTCCCCGGCCATCTTTACAGCGTTGAGGAGGATCGCCTGCAAAGGGCCAAGTGAGCATACATGTTCTAAATGAGAAACTGCTCGCTTTTCAGCAGTCCTGGCCTCCTGATTTGGATGCCGGCCTACTGGCCCAAGTCTGGTTCAAGGATTGACAACACTGCATCCACGGACCTCATCTTGCTGTCATCAGGCGGTAAACTGCCTGCAGCTTCCACGCTGCTGTTGACAAGTTGTCGGCCGACGGCGTTTGCATGCATATACACATATATATATATATATATATAATATGTATAGATATATATATATAGAGATATATATATATATACAATATGTATATAGATATATATATATATATATGTGCATGAGTGGGAATTAATAGCAACCGCCTGCTGTCGTCCAACATGTGGCAATTTGGGCCTGCACGTGGTAATGTGCATGGCATTCCGTTTGTTTTTGCTGCTGACGTCAAGCTTGGGGCCTGCCACAAAGCCTCGCCATCCTGGCTGCTATGGCATCAACCACAAGAAGATACAGCAGAACCCAAGGTTCATGATGGTTCATGTCTTCGTACGTTCTGGCTTTGCTCCTGTTTCTCTCTTTCTCTGAAACCTCTGTCTGACTCTGTCTGTCTGTCTCTCTCACTCTCTCACCCTCTCTCTCTCTCTCTCTCGCTCGCTCGCTCGCTCGAACTCTCCTCCCTCCCTCTCCCTCCCTCTCTCTCTTCCTTCCTTCCAAGCCATAAGACTCCCCCGAAGGAGAGCCGCCCCGAGGGGCACGGTCGACAGATCTGTGTGTGAGACTTATTCCCCACCCCCGCTGTGTGTGAGGTGGGGTTGGTAGAAAATATGTGTGTCCTCACAGTGACCACCAACCAAGCATGGTAGATCCACAACAATTTACGGGCATGGAACGAACTCGGCAACCATGTAGTGGGACACTCTGGGATTGGGTTCGGGCAAAAACGTGCACTGCTATGTAAGGATTGAATGATGGTCCCACCCTCGATTGTGACCCTCCCCCGCGAACTGTTCCCTCCCCACAGGTTTGGTGGTTTGGGAGCATTGGAAAGATTCCCTCTCCACAGGTTGGTGGATCGGGCAAAGTGAACTACGAGGCTGGTATACTCCCCCCTTTCCCCAACAATCGAAAAACCCCCAAGTCAACGAACAACACCCAGGGACCCGCGAGGGGAAAGGAGGGCTTTGTGAGATTTCTCGATGAGCTTACTGTTATGGTGCACGGAGGCTTCGCTCCTTTGAATTGTTGTTATGACAAAGAACGGTCGGTTACTACACTTCCCCTTCAAAGGTGACAACATTACAGATCCCAACCAACAGACAAGCCTGCCCAAAACAATGCTCCCTAGGCCTGAAAGGAAAACAAGGGGCTTAGTTCCCAAGTTGACTTCAAAGGGGTTGTAACCTGTTTATGGGTTAAAAGCCCTGGTGCGCTCACTTTGGCTCCCTCATCTGAGCAAGTAGTGCGGTGTGAAGGATGTGGAAGACGTGGGCGATGTCCGAGCAGGTAGTGTGGTGTAGAGGTTGTGGAAGATGTGGGTGATGTGGATGAGGTCGTTGTTGTGGTCACTGCTGTGGGTGTTTGGCCAGTCTTCTGATCTGTGACTCGAGGTTTTCACTGCCCCAGCTTCGTGGTGTCGGTCGGGTTGGTGTCGTGGAGCTTGTTGCGGGCTTCCCTTCCTTCTTTCTTGGCAGCGGCGGTCGTTCGTCATGTAGTGGTCCTCGTTCTTCTCCGTACAGCGTCTTGGGCTTTGGGGTCCTCGTTGGCTTTGTAGACTTTGTAGCCTCCCATCTTTCCTCCGAATCCTCCTCCCATTCCTCCTTCTTGATTCTCTTTGGCGGTGGCAGCGCTCCTGCTGGGTATGTGCGCACGTGCTGTATCATCGAAGGTTGGCTGCACCCTGGTTGTGTCCCCCTTCCTATGATGGTTGGGGTGGTAGTAGATGTCGGTGAAGTAGTCGGGGATGTTGTAGTGAGCGGGCCAGTGGTCGGAGACGAGCTTCGCATTGGTTGTGTTTGCAATCTCCACCATGCTCCAATTCGTGGTTGTTGAGGTAGTGCCGGTGCGGCTTTGCGGGCCGGCGACCGATGGTTTTTCACATGGCTCGCCCCCCGTGTCTTCCAGAGGTACCTCCTCGTATTCCTCATCTGTTTCTCCTCTCTTCTCCCAAGCCTTTCTTGCTGTTGTCGGTGCTGGGATTGTAGTTGTCCCCCGTGCTTCTCCACTGGTCTTCTTTCCTCCCCTTTCTCCCATGCCATGGCCGTGGTCTTGGTTGTCTCGCTCGTCGGTGTGCTCCTCGTCAATGGTGGTGTTGTCGTGGGTCTCCTTTTGTTTGCACTCCCTCTCGTTGACGATTTGCTGGTCCTCTTCTTCACTTGATCGTCCCCAATCTGGGTGGTCTTGGTGACGGTTTTCCTCCCCATCGTCCCTCAACACGTTGAGCGAGGCCTGGAACCATTGGGAGATCTCGTCATTGGTGGTGTCGGGGGCGTCGTGTGAGCTCCCCCACTTCGGATGGTGTGAACTGTACGGCCACCCAAACGATGGCTCGTTTCATGTGTAGGAGTGCCTTGTCGATGGGGTTCATGCCGGGCGTCTCTTCTCCCATCTCGATGGCGGTTGTGCTGGTGGCCCCCCCCACATGGACAGCGGTTGTAGTGGTCGTCGCATCCGGTCGGCTTTCCATGGCAGTGTGCTTAGGCTTTGTTTAGGGGTGGGGAACGGTGTTAGGGCAAAGCGATGAGGCGGGACTGGGGCATGCAATGGAGTCCTGGAGAGAATACAGTTCATGTCCTGACTGTTTAGTTAGTGCTTTTTGCTACAGGCGCCTCACTGTTCCCCGCTTCCACTCGTTTAGGGTCAAAGTCCACAGCCCCCCTAAGCAAATCGGAACACATGAAAAGCCAGTGCTGGTCCCTGAACGGCAACCTGATTAGGGTTCGTAGGGGAGCGAAGCGGTTTGCAGTTTTGAGCCAGGCGGTGCGCAGGCTCAAGCCACAGTGGAGGGGGCGGGTTCCCCCAAAGTGACTTGAGCCAAAATGGCTACCCTCTCTCTCTCTCTCTCTCTCTTTATTTCCCGTTTTGGGGCATGGAGGGGAGCCCTCTCTCTGTCTCTCTCTCTCTCTCTCTCGTTCTCTTTCTCTCTCTCTCTCTCTCTCTTTTGCTCTCTCTCTCTCTCTCTCTCTCTCTCTCTCTCTCGGTCCAACGTTGGAACTACCCGTCAGCAGCCCTATTTGTGGTGACCCACACGAAAAGAAACACTGCCGGCAATCGCAATCACAAAGAAGCAGAAAAACACGGTCGGCCTAATAGCTAAAGTGAAGCTTGAAGAAGTCGACTGCGTCGTAGCAGTTGATCGACGCGACAAACTTTCTAAACCACATCATAAAATGGTGTGGGCGACGGGCTGTTCTGCACGCTTTTCGGACAAGGCAAGATTGGACTAGGGTAATGGATGGGAAAATGATGCGCGAGTGAAGACCACAATCTTGAAGCCGGCAACCTCTCCGACGCTCACAGCAGCGCGCGACCACTTGCATAAAAGTTGCCATTTGTGTACTCATATACCCAACAGTCATCATAACCTGTTTGACGCCGTGGTCCCCGGCTTGTCATTGGCGGCCTCCCGAAACGGCTGATGGGGCTATACGAGCCGGAGAATGCAAACGGTTCTTCCGTGGCTGAAGAACTGTAGCTGGAACTTGTTCTCGCCAACATCTTGAGTCCAGGACGTGCGTTGCTGAAAAAAGCGGCCTGTGCAATAGAAGCAAGTAGAACAACAGAGAGCTCCCAGCCACTTCCACCAAGATTGTGTTCGAAGTGAATTGTGCGGCAAAGAACCGCAGAAGACTTCCAGCACCTATAGGCAGGTTTGAAAGCATTCGCTAGCAGCAACACGCGGCAGTCCATATGTACATGCGCCATAAGGAGCTCCCCTACTCCCACGGACGGTGTACACAAACTGGAATGAGCCATAGGACCCACATATGACCTCCAGCGCCAGAGAAAAGATGAGCCAAACAAGTTGGACGCAAGCCCCCTAGGAATCGGCAGTGTCCTGAAAACCCATGATGTGCTGATTGACAACGGACGACAACGGCAAAGCGAAAGCAGCAATTCACAGCTTGTACTGCCAGAGAAGGTGAAGTGGCTTAAGGTGAATCACAAAGACAACTAGGATAATCTTCCATCTTCTTGAGGACGGCATAGGGCAATGCCGCTGCTGTTGCTGCTGCAGCAGTGATGCTGCTGCGAAACTTTCTTGGGGGGCCCAGCACGCCCGAAGCCCAAACCCAATGCAAGCCTATATTCTTACCAATATCGTCCGCTGATACATCCTATGCAGATGTATTCTTGATATGAGCTGCAAGTACCCCCAAAAACTTGTTTTTGAAAAGAAAGGGCCCCGAGATTAGCCCGATCTAATGCAAATGGGTGACCCGTGACCCAACTTTGCTTGACAGGCTGCCAGCTCTTGCCCATGGCGCGGAGCTCTCAAGTAGTGGTCTTGCATTCTTAGACACTCCTCATATAAATGTCTGCTGAGTGTGACTGGACGTGCAATGTTCTATCCTCCTGGGTTTTCTCCCTAAACCCTAAACCTTCCAAAACCCCTGAATACGCACGGCATTTGACCCTTTGGAGGGTGTAGAGTTTAGGGCTTGCGGTCGAAGAGTGAAGAAACGAGGAATTGCGGAGGACTTGTTGTTGAGGGCTTCACTTTGAAATTCACGCCACAGCAAACAACAACATAAGGCAAAGAAACGACAGACACAAAAAGAAGCATGAACATAAAACAAGAAACACACATCCAAAAACAGAGAACGAAAGCAACAAACACAAAACAACAAATACAAGCGACAACACATGAAGCTAAACTTTAAACTCAAAAAGCGAAGAACGAAAGAGCAAAACAACAAATGACAACTGTATTAATGAACGACAAACCGAAGGTAACAAAAGCGGAAGCAACAAAAAACAAAATGAAGCCACACAACAAAAAGGCAAAGGCAGAATAGAAAGTGGCAAACAAGAGGAGGCCACAGGAGAAAAAAAAAGGCAAAGAAACAAAACCCGCAGACAAAGAACAGCACCCTAATGGACCCAGCCGGTTCCCCCACATCATCGCAGCAGCAGAACGGCTGATCCGGACAGCCATGCCACAGCGAAATCTCCACCTCTGCCGATCTGTCTGCTTCACATGAGCACAGTCCTTTGCCACGCTCTGTGGCGAATCGGCGCGTCGCACCTGCAAGGGGTCAGCCGTTCATGTGTCAAGCATTTCGCATCACTGTTGTGGCCTCGTCATCGATCTTGTAGAGGCTCAGGCCTAAACGCCGAGCAATGGTGGGATTCAAGAGTTGCAGCATGTTACGGCGATGTACGGCTTTGGGGCATTTTCGGGCACTTCGGAGGCGGAAAGCCGTCGGATGCCACTCAAACAGCCAAGCGAATCTAGCCAATGGGTTGCCTGCCACTTTCCTTGCTGTCAGGATCGGCCCACCCCCACTCCGACCCCAGGCCGTATATATGTAGGCCATGTTGTATTTTCAGGCACGACAAAGGATTCTGATCGTAATAAATGTGCGTCCGGATGTCTGCAGAGGGATAGAGGGGGGGAGGGAGACTGGGGCGGGGGGGGGGGGTGGGCGGGACAGCAAAGCAGTAAGCAGACACAACTCTACCCCGGCGCCTGCTCTACTTGATCTCTTAAGCCCTATCCCCTTTGCTCCGCATTTGGTTCTACGGTAACCCTGCAGTCCGGTGCGAGCGCAAGCGGGTCTGAGTTCTGGCACCCAAAGCCACTGCGGGGAGCTTCGAACCTTCGACAAGACGACGCCGTTTCTACTGGCACTTACTTGCAGGCCTCACATGTCCCCACATGTCCCCACATGTCCTCATGCGACCCAGCACAAGAAGCCTGGAGGACATCCGCCCCGGCTTTGCACCATGGGCGCGGCTGCTCGGATAGGACGACATGCACCGGTCCCAGCACGAGGACCAAGGCGACTCAGCTAGGGCTAGGCTAAGTTCAGCTTGTGCTCAGCAGCGGCTCTATTGCTGTTGCAGTGCTGTTGCCACCGTCTGTAGAATTCATCTCGCTGGCCACTCCCCAAACCGTCCCAGCCATGGGCTGCAAAGAGGGGGAAAGAGGGGTGCAAGCGCGCTCTCACAAAGAGGGGCACAAGCGAGCTCCCAAAGTCCGGCGCCCAAACACATGTTCCAGCCCGTGGCTGCCGTTCGCAAAGTGAAACTTTGTGTCTATCCTGAGTTGAGGCTGCTAAGGCTGTTGAGGCCTGAAGCCCATTGGGGATACTGGGGTGAAACAACTTCTGTCACCAGTCACAGCTTGCGGGTTTACACGAGGAAGCTGCAGCTTACAGCAACTTAAGCGGTGTCCAGCATGTCGAGGGCCTGAGAGGCGATCCGAGGCACTGAGCTCCACACGTGAGAGCATGTAACTCACACAGTACCCATGTGCCCATGGCCCATTCCCTGCCTCCTTCAGATCTTTCATCTCTTGCTCTCTGCGTGCTTTCCTCTCCTGGTACGACACACCTGCCTGAGACGGATGATCACTTCGCGATACTTTTTGCGACGGTTTGTGCCCATGACTGCTACGGCCGGCATCTGGGGCTGCAGCATCCAAGCAGTCGGGCTTTAGCTTCTCGTAGTAAACCGCAGCAGCTTCTAGCTCCTGATAAGTTGTCTCACAGTGGGTTGAGGCCTTGAAAATCTTGCGGGTCCAAGGGTCCTTCTCTGTGCCCTGCAGGTCGGCCTTGGGCCATGGAGGAAAGGCGCATGAAGACGTTATCTGGTCACAACTTTGCCTGCAAGGTGATGAGCTCTGACTTCCTCTCTTGTTTGGAGGAAGTCTTGTGTTCCACCTCCTGAAAACACAGAAGACAACTAGGAAACGGAGCCGCAAAGTGGCAAAATATGGGGTTGGGGTTTAGGGTTTAGGGTTTGAGTATAGGGCTTAATTAGGGTCTAGGGTTTAGGGTTTAGGGTTCAGCATCTCAAGCTTCCAGCACTCACTAGTCAAGCAATTACTCGAGCGTTGGAAAAATACCCACCTGCCCAAAGAGTCCTATAACATTAAGAAAACTTGTCACTTACATTTCTATTTTCAGGCGACGAGACGGGCATTCTGAAACCCACTTTAGGGAATCAAAAACTTTAGTGTCCCTCGAGATAAGGTCGGTGTCTGGACCGAACGATCTTGCCCAATAATAAGATGACCTTGTGCCCAATAGAAATGTGACCTTGTGCCCCATAAACAGACGACCTTGTGCCCAATAAAAACAAACAGGGCCTGCGGGGTCGAAGGATATATTTTGATTGGGAACAAGGTCGTCTTGGACCGAAAGACCTTGTGCCCAAATAAAACATGACCTTGTGCCCGATAACTCCCCAAGGTTTGAATTATGTAGGTAAGAGAGGTTTAGGGTTCAGGGTTTAGAGTTTAGGGTTCAGGGTTCAGGGTTTCGGGTCTAGGGGTTTAGGGGTTTAGGGGTTAGGGTTTAGGGTTGAGGGTTGAGGGTTTAGGGTTTAGGGTTTAGGGGTTTAGGGTTTAGGCTGTAGCACCGGTCAGCTGAATGCAATAGTCACCCACTCACAACTCACGTCGAAACCAAACCAGAGCCAGCCCAAACCAAGCCAGGCATTCAAAGTTCATACCTCGAACATGTCCACAGGACACTTATGTTAGAATACATAGAATGCTTGGGAAAGACTTGAAACACTATAATATGAAGCCCCAACAGGCAGTGGCCCAAGCCTTCAGTGATTGTCAGAAGTCACTTGGGGCCATAGGGCAATGGATAGCCCCTCTGGTTTTTGCGAATTTTCTCGGTCTGGCCCGAAGGACCTCTCACAAAAGCATCCAGGCGTGTACAGGCTGGCTTTAAGAGGCCTGCCAGAGGCTTTACAAGAACCTCCCGAGGGGCCTCCCAGGGGCCTCTAGGGGCCTCCGCGGAGCCAGCCCCAAATAGTAGACCCAGTGACAACGCAAGGCTCTGCAGTCGAGCAGAGGCTGCCGTGGTCTCGCTGAGCGCTCGACTGCGCCCGCCCGCCCACTAGAGGTGAGAGCGGGCTTAGGGTGTAGGGTTTTAAGGTCTCAGGGCCTTAGGGTTTAGGGTTTAGGGTTTTGGGTTTTAGGGTTTTAGGGTTTAGGTTTTAGGTTTTAGGGTTTAGGTTTTAGGGTTTGAAGTTCAGGGTTCAGGGTTCAGGGTTCAGGGTTCAGGGTTCAGGGTTCAGGGTTTGGGGTTTTACGGTTTAGGGTTTAGGGTCTAGGGACTTAGGGTTTCGGGTTCAGGGGAGAGAGCGAGAGAGAGAGAGAGAGAGAGAGTAGCCGGGGCGGGGGGCCGAGAACGCACAGCGCAGAACGATATGTGGGCAATTGGGCCTTTGACTTTTCAGCCTTGGTGATCTTGGACTCCTGATGGGGTCCACGGATGAAGAAGAACAAACCACCAACGGCAACCACAGGTCCTCCAAGAAACTCTCAAAATCTTTTTTGGCAGCTGCCTGCGCATGTCGGAGAGAAGCTCTGGTTCCGGAGTCCAGCATGCCCGTGCTCCATGTCCAGCCTCGCTGGCAGTGGCCTCTGCCTCCAACCGAGAGAAGTCTGATTCGATCACCTGCCACGTGGCCCGACACAGCCGTCTCGCCATGTCTCACCAAACTCCTTAGAGTGACTTGACTAGACTTGACAGGTCGAACCTCCAGCATTGCCAACACCCCACCCTTGGCCTTCTGCATGCCTGTCAGAGCGGGTCTTTGATGGTCTTTCTGCTTGCCAAATAACAAATAGCATCAAACAGCCGCAAAGTGGCCTGCATAGGGCTCGTCACTGAAGATGGGAGGGGCTCCGCGCAAGTCGGAACGCTGCAGCAAAGCCTCTCCTGGTTGACTGGCCTGACATGCAGACAAAAGCAGACGGGCGAGGAATTATTTTCACCCATGTTTTTGGTTAACCCTTCTTAAACGGCTTCTTATTGAAAATACAAAAAACATGGAGGTTTCCTTACTAAAATGCAGCGGAAAATGAGGTTCCTATTGAAATACAATCCGATTGAATGAACGGAGAAAGCTAGAGGTTGCATTGCATCACTATTAGAGGTTTTACTACTGCAATATTAAGGACACATGAAGGAAACATAGAGGTTTTCTTAACAACGTTTAGAGCTGCCTGTGTTGAAATTGCACGAACGAACGCCAGCGTTCGCATGATGGATGTCAAAAAGTTTCATAAATGCTTCGAAGCAAGCTTGCACAGCCTAAAAAAAGCAGGGGGGGGCTGGGGGGGGAGCCCCCGCAATTGCAAACACAATGCTCGCATGATGGGTTTGCTTTGAAGCAAGCTTGCACAGCGTAAACAAGCGGCGGGGCTGCCCTGGGCGCATCCCCCCATGCCCATCTGCAAACACGATGCTCGCATAATGGGTTGCAAAAAACTCATATATGCTCTGAAGCAGGCTTGCATGGCTTAAAAAAGCGGGGCAAACACAATGCTCGCGTGAAGGGTTTCAAAAAGATTCGTATGCTTTGAAGCTGTGCACGGCTTTAAGAAAGTGGCGGGGGCGGGGCGCAGCGCTCCCCCTATTTGCAATCGCAATGCACGAATGATGGTTCAAAAGATTCATATATGCTGTGACGCAAGCTGGCACGGCTTAAGAAAGCGAGGCATTCACAACGCTCGCACGATGGGTCTCAGAAACATATGCTTTGAAGCAAGCTTGTGCGGCTTAAACAAGCAGGGGGGTTGGTGAGGGGGATGGGGGGGCGCTTGAAAAGATTCATATATGCTTTGAAGCAAGCTTGAAAGGCTTAAAAAAGGCCGGGTTGGGGGGGGTGCAGGGGGGGGTGCAGGCCCCCCCACCCAAAACACTGCTCGCATGATGATATGCTTTGAAGCAACCTTGCAAGGCTTTCAAAATGCGGGGGGTTGGGGGGGGTGCAGCCTCTATGTTTGTTTCAGCGTTTCTTTCATTGTTCCTGTTTTGTATTCATGAGTTCTTTCTGCATGTGTTTTTTGATTGCCTTCTTTATTTACTTAATTTTACTATTTCTGTCTGTCTGTCGTTCTTTATTGATTTGTATGTTCTTTCTTTCGTTCGTTCTTTTTGTATTTCTTCATTTCGTTCCTTCTGCTTTTCTGTATTTCTTTCTTTCGTTCTTTTTACATCGTTCTTTTTCTCTTTTTTCTGTAGTTGTTTCTTTCTTTCCGTCCTTCCTTCTTGCTTGCTTTCTTTCTGTCTGCATGTATTTCTTTTTTGTTTCTTTCTTTCTTTCGTTCTTTCTTTCTCTCTCTCTCTCTCTCTCTCTCGCTCTCTCGCTCTCTCTTCTTTCCTCTTACTTGCCTCTGATTTCATCCTTCCTCCCAGAGCTTGCAAAAGGGACGCAAATATTCGATTGGAATTTGCTAGACAACCTCTACTTCCTTAGTACTTAAGTGAAAGCACAAAAGAGGTCGGGAAAACCTAAAACAAACTATTTTAATAGGAAACCTTACCACCGAAAAAATGTTAAAACAAAAAAGCCAACATTATTAGGGGGCCAACGCAGACCAGTCTAGTCACCACATTGGGAAGCACGAGACACATTTCACTCACATCTGAAGTCTTCTGCCAGCCTTGCTGTAGAAGTCCTGCAGGCATTCGTTGAACAGTTGAACCGATGGATTCATGCCGAATACCGAGACTGGTTCTGCATATGGTTCTGCATATGGTTCTCTGCGGCTCCTGCAGCACCAGAACCGCCTTGGCCACTGCATCCTGGCATTTGTACAAGAGACGAGCATCTGCATTGGAACCTGCCTCCCGAAACCGCCCAGCGTCCTGGCCCTCTTTTGCTTCTTTCACAGTTGCCTGTATAGGCATGTAGGCTGAGGGTGCTGTCGCGGCATGTTTCCCGAAATTTCTGCGCAGAAGGGTGTAGCTGAGCCTTGTTTTTTGCCTCCTCCTTCTGTCGCAGATTGGTTGCCTGCTTAACCCAAACCCCGGGATTTGTGTCGATCTGCAACTACCTTTTACCTAAGAAACTTGGGCTACCCTAGTGTGGGTGGGCCCGGGAGATCACCGAACTGCCGCTCAGTTCAGGTTGACAGGCTGTTGCCTCCGACATTGCAGTGCTCAGCTCTGTCAGCTCACCAGACAGGCTGGTGATCTCCTGACAAAGCTCGGAAACGTGCAAGGCTGTCGCAAGGGAACGTGCTGCCAGGACGTCCCGCACACATGGGAATGCGGAATGCGCCTCTCCCAGCTGACTGATGTGCGCCTAGATCTGAGAGAATAGTCCAACGAAGATCACACGAAGATCACAAAGCAAGGCAGCCAGTCTGCCTGCAACTCGTCAATCTCCGCCTGCAAACTGCTTACAGCATCGGACTTCTCCTGGCAATGCATGTGCATGGCATCGTCATATCCCTTCAGCTGCACACAGGGCCAGTCCTCGCGTGTGGCTTTGTTTGTTGACAGTTCAGCATCGCACCAGGCCTGCTCAAGACTCTCCAGGCTTAACAAGGGTTTCCGATCTTTGCCGTTGTGCCTTCTTGGTTGTCTCCTCCTTGGCCTAGGGCTGTGGGCCAGGTCTCCAGCATCTTCCGAGGCTAAGACATCCTCGCACCTGGTCCTTGAGCCGCACAATCAGCTGCTCGATCATCTGCTTGACCTGCTCAAGTCAAGCAATGCTCCTCAAGACTGCGTCGAGATCATTCGCCGTCTCCGACCTTCATCATTGGATCTGCACGCGCACGCTCTGCCAGCGCCGAAAGAAGTCGGCTGTTCAGGCTCGTTGCCTTCGACAGCAGCTGAAGCTCAGGAGTCTGCAGCAGTCTGCAGCAGTCTGCAGCAGTCTGCAATCTTGCAACAGCAGTCAAATGCAGTCTTGCTTGTCTGCAATGGAACAGCGCCTCCCTCTGCAGGAATCGAGCGACTTGAGCCTTCCGGATTTGTAACTTCAAGATGCTTCAGAAGAGACTTCAGTTTGGAGACTTCAGTTTAGAGACTTTCTGAGACACCCACCTGGGCTGGGCCTGTCGCATCGCTCCGCAACTGGGCCAGGGCCGACATCTTGGTCTTGACCTCTGCACAACATGCACAAACGACACGTGACACCACACGACCAAGGCCAAAATTGGCGCCAGCACAGAGTAGGCTCGAAACTGTCTGCATCTGCACAAGGCTGGTTCCCGAGATCTGCCAGACAAACATTCAGGTTCGCATGATTGGTGCTGTGCTTGGACGCCGGCAACCGGATGCCTGGGACATGGCGTGTATTGCTTCATCGAGGGCGACTAGCTCCTGGCAAGCGTGGTGGTCTTTAAGGTTCGAAGACATGTCTTCTGTCCACGCCTGTCCGCGAAGCTTCTGGCGCTCTTCGAAGTCTGCGGCCTTGCATTTCTCTAGTTGTGCCGCCTGAATCCCTGGCTGGATATGCATTCCTGCATGCCTTCTTGCGGCAGCTGGTGGTCAGGTCTGCCAGATATTTCTGGTCCTCAAGAAACAAAGTGGCAGGCAACGGTGGGCCAGATTTGCACCTTACGTTGGCTTGGTTGCGAGCGACGTCGAGGCCAGCCTCCCAGGCGCACCAGCACAGAGAGAGAGAGAGAGGGAGAGAGAGAGAGAGAGAGAGAAAAGAAAAAACACACACACACACCCATGCAACATGCATCTTCCTTCGATGCTGCTTCGATGCTTCAGCTTGCCTGCGCCTCTGAGAGCTCGCTGGAGGCTGTTGCCTACCAGGCCACCGCCATATCGCCATGCCCAAACGCGACCCAACACGGCAGTGTGAAAAAGTAAGCAAACAAACCTGCCTGGTCTTGCAACTTTTTAGCCTCAATGTCGTGCAATGGCTTACGAAGCCAGAGAACACAAACAAATGTTCAGCTTGGCTTGTGACCTGTGTGGTGTGCTTCTGTTGCTGCTCCTTCGTCGCCTCTCTCCAGACGCGCGCGAAACTCTCAGAATTGTCTGCAACACCCCCTTGGCCTCAGCAATCTTGGATGCGATGCTTTGCGCGAAAAGCTCGAATGCATGCTTCTTGGAAGTCTCTTCCTGCGCAGTCGACACATGTCGACACCACGTGTGGGCATCAGGCACCTGTGTCAGTTCAAACGCGGCTGCCGGAGCTTTCCAGAGCTACCTTCTCCAACTGCAAGCGTTCGTCGGTGAACTGATCTTCCAGCTTCTCCAGCATCTTGATGATGCCTTCAAGAGGCCGGAAGATGCCGGAAGGCGTGAACAGAGCATGACGAGGGAATCCAAAAGGAAAGTACAGGCAAGGTTCCTGCGGACTTGAACTCGGGAACTTGTAAGTCGCTCAGCAAGCTGTCCTCCAAGTGCCGGTGCAAATGTTCAACAAACTGTCGTTTCAGTGGAGTACTTCTGGGAACCGGCGAGCACAACAAGAAGTGTTTTCGCTTCGGGAAAGGTACTGTTGGAGTATCAGGTCAACAACTCAGAAGTTGTTTCCGGTTCTGTATAAAACCCTCTTCTGAATCTAACCGAGGCAGCCACCCCCTTCCTATTCCTCCTCCCCGGGCCGAATGCTGTGCTTGTGACCCGTCTTGCGTTGGAAAGCCAGCCGCGACAAGCCGCCACTAGCCGGCCCGGGGCCGTCCCTCGGTCCCTCGGCTCGGGGAAGGCTTTGCAGACAAGTCTGTTGTGGACAAGGTGACAAATCACGGTTCTTGCCGAAACAAATGCTGACCTGGGGCCCTGGGGCTGGATGGGATGATTGCATCAACGAAGAACACCATCGAAGACCACAAGCAATCGAAGACAAAATGGAAGCAACACCCTGGCCTGTACCACTTTTGCATTTGCGCTGTGTCGAGAACTCAAAAGCTACGTTTGTCTGGCTTTCCGCCGTTTGCTGCGCGGTGATGCAAGGCCCAAAACCGATACTTTGGTTTCCACTCATTGATACACTGTCAACACCAAGCCCCCTGCACAAGCAGCGAGGGTTGGACCACGATTTTTTGAGACACTCCCATTGAAGCCTTCAACGACCCAAGGTGGATACCATGACCAACGAGCATCCGTCGCAGCATCACTACGGTCAGCTCATGAGGAAACGGTGGAAAGGGCGTGATAGAGACAGCACAGCAGAAGGCTGTCTTGGCTTCTTTTCAGGCTTGGCACATGTATTGCCACGTGGCACCAATTTTCTGGGTCTCTGAATCCCAAAGCTTGGCGTCCGAGTTGTCGTGTTGGCTGAGGGCATTTAGAACGCACTGCTTAAAGTAAGCGGTGCGATGTACCTGGTCTGACAAAGCAAAGGGCAGCAAAAGAACAACAGAAGGAGGCAAGCATGTTCCCGAACGCATGCCTCAAAATTCACATTTCACTCAGCCCTGCATGTGTCCACGGAGCAGAAGTTCGAGACGGGGTGGCATGCAGCAAGACGGATTCTACGAGCCGTGCAACTTGATAAGCCCGCATGATCCAGAAAAATCAGGACTGTACGGTGGCTACGGGTCAGGGTCCTCGAAGCCCTCGGACAGTAGGGCATTCAAGCCCCTGCTTGCCTTGACCGGCAGCTTGAGGGCGGTCAGTTGAACGAGTGAGCCCCCCTGCGCAAAAATCGCAAAATCTCAACGACACGGTGAAATCATGTGAAATAGAAACATGTCGAAGGAAGAAAGAGCTTCCGACATCGAACCTTGGCTTGCCCCGACTTCAGCTCCTTCTGTGCTCTGCCGATAGCATCGATGGACTCAGTCAAGTCCTGCACACTGCAGCGCTCGATGCGTCGGGGCTCAAGATCACAAAATGCCACCCCGTCCTGGAACATGTTCTGGAAATCTTTCCGCTCAGTTTCCCGCATCTTGGATGCCTCCTGTCAGGAATCAGACGGTGCCTGATCAGCCAAACACATACCGATACGTACCGGATGAGACTTGCGATCCTCCTTCTCCGCCTGTGCACCTGAAGCAGGTTCACACATGGACTATCCGTGGAAATCCGTGGACTCCTGGACTGTGAGCTCCAAGTACGATGTCAGCAAAGCATGCCATTTGTACACTCAAATCTGCACACCTCGTCAATGGACTAGTGTGACTACTCCAATGTTGCCAGCTTCACTCACTTTCACTCAGCAATGTTGCGAGGTATTACTTTTTGCATGTCGACTTAGCTCCAAAGAAACGTTAGTTCGCAGGGTTCAGCCTTCAATCCAGGCATGCGCTGCATCCGTTCTTTTAACATACTCTGGAACTGAGTCTGTTAGCCCGTTTATGTCTCTTTTCGCTGAAATTTCTCTCCCTTGCTTGAATCAATCCTATACACGGGCGCGCATGAGGCCGATCTTCCAAAAAAGGAGTGGCCCAGTGGCCCAGGGCTTGTGGAATACACAGGTTGGGCATTGGAGCGAGTGCAAACATAGCAGTTCCCACTTTTTGTTGCCCAAACCATCTGTGTCCCATCAGCATCGCCCTCTTTCAGCACCTACGTAGTTTCGCGACGTGGCTTACTTTACAACAGTGGTGCATCGTGATCCACTTTTAGAATCTAGAAACAGCAGAAACGTTGTCCATCCAGACCATCGACTGCGAGGAGTGCACCGCACTTGCTCCGCAGGACGGTGCGTCAATTAATTACTGATGGTTTATGCTTGATGTCCGAGTGCACAACCGGGGGATTTGGGCAAGAGGAAGGCTGCATAATCCTGTCACCGAGAACTTGTAAGCATGAGCAGACATGAAGCAGATACTTTTAAGGACAGTCTGCACAAAAGGCCTCTAAGGCGGGAAAAACACAGCACTGGTTCGGCAATCATCCCACGCCCCACGGAGAACTTGTAAGCATGAGCAGACCCTCGTCCCACATCCAACGAAGACAACAAGGGCAACAAATCGAATCTACCAGTAGCGTGTTGCAAAGATTTCCGAGCGAGATAATGGTCTGTAGATGTCTGTAGGAGACTTGGTACTTGCTAAATTGGCGTTCATCAGATGCAACCTGGACTTTCCTCAGAAAGCAATTATAGGGCACTTAAGTAAATGGCACAGAGATGGCAAAACGAAAAGGATTGCCGCAAGGAAGACTGCGCCAGAGAAGACAGAGAGCGAGAGGGAGAGAGACTGGAGAGTGCTAGTAGGGAGGACAGGCGGCTTTTGCATGCACATGTCGTGCCTGCCAGGTCTGCAGTGTGAGCAGCGATCTCCTCACCGAGCCTGCGCTACGTTGTTGCACTTACGCCCCGAGACTTCTTGCAACAGTCCATGTGCACGAGTATGAAGACAACGAACAAGGCAGGCCAGCAATTAATTGCAGTGATGAGCGCTCTTAGGATTGCCGACATTTAGCACCCATCATGTGGATGAGCGCTTCTTTCAGACATGCTACGATGCACCGCAGCTGGACACCACTAGACATCCTGTGCGTTGGCTCGGCAAGCCCAACATCAGATACGGAGTGACGGCAACCGGTGATTCACGAGGCCGTGCTGTCTGTCTCTTTTTGATCTTCTCGTGATGTGGTTATTTGGCATTCTCAGGCAAATTTAAACCTAGTCCTTCCCCTTCCCAACCAAGGCGTCCAAACTGTCCATGTTTCGCACTGACACCCTAGACAAACACACGCCAAAAAGCACGAGACGTCGGTCCAGATCCACCTGGCACCCTGGGAGCCCCGTGAAACCCCTCCTAGGACCCTTTCGTCTGCGATGCGCACGCTACGCCGAGGCGGCGCACGGAAGCGCTTACAATTATTCTCCAACTCTTTTTGGACGCCAAAGAGAATGACTGAACACAAGGGCATGCCTTCGAACAATAAGCTCCAGAATCGTGAACATCATGAAATATCATGAACGGCACGATGTGACATGAACGGTCAATGAATCAAGCATAGTCATGCTCTCACCGCAGTCACTGCCTGGTGGCGTCAGATCCACTCTTCTCGATCTCCGCGGAAAGGACCTACAGTGACAGCTGCGATACAAGATGACACCAAGTGCACCGCTGCGATACAAGATGACACCAAGTGCACCCTTCGTGCGCACATGCAAGCTCCATTCCACCTCAACTTTCTCGGTTGCTTGTTGGATTGAACGCTTCGTTTCTCTCTCGGTGACTTCGCAGAATTGCCTGACAAGGCAATCAGGAATCATATTGTGGAATCATGAACTATCTGAACCAGCATGAAGGCGCTGCGAGTGTGCCGAGGTGCTTGTAAGCTGCGAATTGCACTTCCTCATCCTGCTTGTCCTGCCAAGAGTAGCCACAGCATGCCGGGAGGTTCTCTGCACGTCGGGAATCACTCGGCGTCCTTCTCGCCTTGTGCCTTCATACCCCGCAGCATCTCCACGACCTTGCCCCTGCGCTGGGCGAGAGGAGCATGATGAGCACGGCACATCACGGCACAGCACGGCGCTGCTGGCGCTGCTTGCAAAACTCTGCTTGCGAAATCTGGGCGCCAGACACGGGGGTCGTTTGCTCCGCAGAGCTCACAGCCAGGAGCAGGAGCAAGCGCCATGCCTCGGCCATTCCATTTGCGTTTGTCTCCGTATATCTCCATCCCTTGTTGTTGAGGCTGGTTTTTTCATACTTAGAAATGTTCAGTGTTTGGCTGTGGAGCATTCTGGGGCCCTGGCTCTCTTCATTACGGGGACTTCGGCCCAGAAACCGGGTCAATGCCTGGCTCAAGCCGAAACCTCCGCGCAAGCCTGTGGACAAGGAAAAGCTTGGGATATGCTGGCAGATGCGGGCAGATGCTAGCAGATACTCACGTCGAACAGCGAGTTCTCTTCTCGCCGCTCAACGAAGAAATTTCAGAGTTGTGAAACTTGGACACCCGTGTCGGCCGAGTAGGCCAATAAGGAAGGCATCACTGAAGGACGCCGGCAAGAACCTGGCGACTCAAAGACGAACATGTTCTGCCAAGGAGCTTTCTTGTTAGGGCTGCTCGGGCACGGCGCGCCTTGCCGACCGTGTACACAAAAAAGCCCAGAATGGCGGGCAGCAGCGCCGGCTCCAGGTGCAGCTCTGCAATTTCCGGAAACTGCCGACACGCTCGGTTTCCGCAGGCCAACAGTCAACAGAAGCTGAACAAGCAACATAGCAGAACATCGCATGACATAGCATGACCCAGTTAGGCCCACTAGGCTTTCCTGTGCTTCTATCCGCGGCCAGCCCTGCACGATGAGGAGCACGATGACAGGGGTCTGAGCAAGGCCGTTGAGCTCGCTCAAGATTGAGATCGCACAGACAGTGCCGACGCACCTTTTTCTGTTTGCTTGAGACATGTCCGCAGACTGTACAGGATCTGTACAATCTTTACTCCATCTCGAAGTCGGCAAACAAAGGGAGGTGGTCTGAGGGATGGTCCTGGCAAATCTCTTTGAGTGCTTGGGCCACTCTTGGGCCACGGAGATACTCTGAGCCGAAACAAACCTTACTCGGGCCTCCGAAGGCAGCTGCTCCGGCAACTGCTCTGGCGCAGGATGAACACCCCGAAGTTGCAGACCACCTCAGACTCGGTCCATGTTTTGAGTCGATTTTCGCCTTGTGCATCCTTGTGAAAGCAGCAGCCGTGCCCAAGCACAGCTTCGAGGCTTCGACCTCGATAGAGGATGTAGTCGAGGCAGCCGTGAAACTCTCGGGTCAGGTTCGTGACAGCTTGCTCGCGACCTCACGAAGAGCTAGCGTCACATGCAGCTCCGCATGCTCCTTGCGAACCGAAAAAGTCGAGCACCAGACAAGCACAATTCATAACTTGCAGGTGTGGCGAAGCAAAACACTTCTAAATGGTGGCCAGAAACCATCAGCTTCCTTGTAGGCACTGTAAAAGGGTAAGACTTGAAGGTCTGGCACTTCCTGACAGTGCAGGTCATGCGTCAACAAGTCAGAGAAGCAGAACGGCCCAACTTCCCACCACAGGCCTTGGTGCTGACACCACGAAGGATTCCACTACCAGGTCTCATTCGTACTGGATGGTGTGGATGTGAAGCAGACACGCTACCTGAACATCGTCTCTGCTCTCCAGTGGTCGATGCATGTCTCTGCATTCCCAGACCCCTCAGAGGATCCAAAAGAAGACCCTTAAGCTTTCCTAAGAATGACCCAATAGTACCGTTGGGGCGCCACTTTTGGATCCTCGCAGAGGTCTGGGTTTGCGCCTATCGCAACCGTGCACCTGTTGTGAAGAGCTGGTACACGCCGGACAAGTCTCCATCACCCGAGCTGCGCCCATCCACCAGCGGGGTGCCTAGGTTTGTACAGTAAAGATATGCTTGCCACAAGTCAGCTCCCAAATCGTGCCTGCAAAAGAAGTGAAAACCCTTTTGCAACCCCAGTGTCTCTATCCGGGTTTATTTCCTGCTTGCAGGTGAAAGGGACTGTTCAAATCCCCTGCCAGGATCAGATTTGGAGCTGCCACTGCTTCTAGCTCACGTGCTAGGAGAAAAGCCTCAGCTTCCCCCAATGGCCCAATCCCTTATACGTGTAAGCCGTGTAGAAGGACGACTGCAGACTCCACATACCCTTAAATGCCTGCAGGGAGCCTGCAGCAGCTTAAGATCTGGATACCGTGGATCCCAGTACAAGTGGCTGGTTGAGACCTGCTGGATGCACGTCGAAGGCAGTCATATTATGTCATAGGCCAAGAGTGCTGACCGAGGTGCGCACAGCTTCCTGACAGCAACCCAACACGATGGTTCTTGCCCCCTTCTCAGCCCTTCTCAGCCCTTCTCAGCTCGCACACTTGACTGTGGCCTTCCCGACACATCAATTTCGACGGCCTCGGTGCAAAGATTCTCACGGTTCACTCAACAAAGGAGCTGCCTGAGCACGGAACGACAGCCACGCTAAGCTTCTCATGCAGCTCACGCCACAAAGCCTCGCCCCACGGAGTTGAGAGAGAAGTTTGCATCCGAGGACAAGCTGACGAGATGTGACGAGATCTGACGAGATCTGACGAGCTGGCAGCTCCAAGACCAGCACTTCCACGAATGTCAAGCGAGGTGGGGTAATGCCTGCCAGAGCTGGTGAAATAGCTGACAGTAGCAGGCAGCGACACACTGTCGTCCAGCCTCTCGGCTACATCGCGAATGCGGAACGAGTAGGTTCTTGTCACCGGCAAGTCTGTACGAGTAAAGATGGCACAACCGTCCTCATGAATCCCGAGGCAGAGTGAGTTGAAACACAGTCATGTGTATCCTGTCTGCTTTTCAGCAACCTCAAGGCTTCCAAGGTCCTTTGCTGGCAACTCTTCGTTCTGCAGAATCACAGCCTGCTTGCGGATGTGGCACTTCCGATATTGGCCATTTTGGCCACTCGCCAATGCTGCCAAGACACACAGCGATAGCCTTGCAAATATCTGTCAAAGGTCTCCCTTGCTGAGGGGTCGAACTCCTGTGAGACATGTCACATCTCTGGGCAAATGGGTGCATTCGTACTCTTCTCAGGTTTCAAAAGCTCCTGCAAGCACGCGATGTCCGGCGACAGTCGAAGCACCAGCTCAGCAACTCGCTGCAAGCCTTAGTACACGCGATCATTTGCGATGCTCCTTATGGCTCCTCCCTGACACTGTTGAGGTCGAGGAGCGATCAGCCCACAAGCTCTGCGAGGGCAACTTGCTCCGAAGCCTGGCCCACAGGCCACACAAGCTCTTTGCCAAGAGGAAAGGAGCAGAGGCGAAGCATAGGCGAAGCAGAGGCGACGAAAAGCGTCAACTTCAGGCACTCTGCGCACTTGCATAAGACCCCCATGATCCATGGAATGCCCTGTACCACGCACCAATGCCATGGCTGCCTTTTCGCGGCGGCACTGTGCAAGATGTTGTAGCTGAGCACGGAGATACGCATGGCATGAGAGGGCGCCTTCCCCTCATGGCAAGCGAGACGTTTAACAAATGACGACGCTTGAAACCCAAAAAGCACCACCAAAGGACCACGGCACGGATGATGATTCTAGGACCCTTAAGAGAAGGGGCACATGCTGGCCAATACTACAACCCGCTCGTCAGTTCAGGCTCGTCTGCATGTGCAACGTGTTTATGCTGTAAAAACCCGTTGCAAATCGTAGAAGTCATTGGCAGGCTGACTCCGGGAAAGGGTCGAGCCAGACACCGGAACAGGGCAATAGCAAGCCGCCATGAGGTCTGTGCTCCCCTTGGCCCAGTATGCCCAACCCAAGCAGTGCTAGCAAAAAAGAGCTTTGTGCAAAGCCAGAGTCCAAAGAATCCGCTGAGGCCCCAAGCCTAAGGGCAAAAGAACAATCTGCCTACAGTCCACCCCTTGCATTGCGCAGCCCTTGTAGAGGCTCAGAGGGACCGTTCTATATGAAACTCGATTGACCCTCTATGCACTCCGCTATTTAGAGGAGCTATGCGGAACTGCTGTATGGGCACTTTCTGGATGCTTGACCCCTACGCAGCCCCCAAGCCCAAACTCTAAACTTAACCCTATCAATCCAGACGACGGTTATGGGCATTCTGTGGACGCCTATGACCCCCTATGGACAGTGTTCCGGGTCGCACGATTCGGCCGCGCCAAGTCGGGGAGCATCAGGGTTAACATTGTACAACTCACAGCCCAGACAGCCAGCTGCAGACCGTTGGATGAAACTGCGAAGGCTTTCTCTGCAACTGAGACAAGCACCAATAACCGCCTTGCACCCAACGCTGATCCTGGACAGTCTTCTGCAAGTTTGCAAGCTTACTCACAAGTGATCAGCACAAGTGATCAGCAGAAAGGGCCCCCGAAAGAGAGCTCTGAGTGACTTCTCAAGAGACGTGCCAGGTGTGCCCATTGGATTCTCGGCATTGTCGGTGTATGAGGCCAGTCCCTCCGGCAAAAGATGCGCTTGTGAGAAGCTCTCAATGTGGCACAGAAACACCCACAATACATTAATACATCATAGTACCCATACCAAGACCATGGCGGAAAGATACAAAAGCCCGCCGATGGCCCCAAGGCCTTGCAGAAGCACTCCGAAGCATGCTTCACACTCACACAGCCGCAGTTGAGCGCGCCAGGATCCCTTCAAAGCCCTCAAAGCCCAGTGCCGAAACTGAAGGCAATGCTCACACCATACCTTCGGAGGCCAGAAGAATGTCTTGCGACAAGCATGTCAGGAATCCAGCCCATCTAAAGCAGTCGCAAGAGTTGCATTGGCAAGAACAATGTTACAGTGAATGACAGAGTCTTCGTCCTTTCAGCGTGGGATGTGCAGCGATGTACAGGGTGGTGCGGGATGTGAGGCGATGTGCAGGGTGGCGCCCGTGAACTGTCCATGCTTCTGGGGCGATTGACTCAAAGGCTAAGAAGCTGGCACAACATACGTATATGCGAAGCCGACGCCGCTTAACCTTGTCCAGCATGCCACAACAAATCACAATATATCACAGCCCTTGTGTCGAGTTCCTGACGCTGCTGTGATTCCGAACATGCGCACCTGGTGGCCAGCTTAGATTCCTACACATCTGGGCCCTACCACAAAAGCAGTGCCTTCGTAGCCTCATAGTCCTGCCGAGAAAGTTTCGAACATGCTGCTTTCTGGGCCTTCAAGTGTAAGTTTATGTGTCCTTCCGCCTGTCTTCTGGACCTGTGAGCGACATGGAGAAGCCAAATTGTTCCATTAGATGCCCCTACATCTCAAACTCCAGACTTGTCTGCATGCGGCTCCAATGTTTGGGCACTTGTGTCACTTGGGTCATGGCTCTTCACAATCCTTGTTTTGATCCTTGGAGCATGTCGAGTCATAACCGTTGCAATTGCAAAGCCTCCTCCGAGGTGCTGTCCATTTTTTGTTCTGCTTGCTCTTCTGCATGCTCTGCCTCTGAATTGTGGCAAGGTAGTCGGCCACACCTGAAGCCGTGAAGCCTAGGGTGAAGCACTCCTCATGTGATCACACACTGATCACATGTGGACAAAACCGTGCCTTCATCCTCTCTTTCCTGACAGCTTTCTATTGCCCCGACTCAAGATCACCTGTTGCAGATGCAGCCTCGTCTGCGGGATCTTCCTGTTGACTGGCACGTCTGGTCCGCAGTGGTGAGGAACTTTCGATTCTGGGAAGACAAGCTACCAGTAGCACAAACTTTTGTGGCTTGGAGGGTGATCCACTGTGCAATCCAAAGCTGAGGATGCGTCAGCTGATCGATGCTTCTTCCGATCTCCACCTTTCCGACACCTGCAGACTAGATCAGTGCATGGCCTGGGGTAGAGGATGCAGAGGTCATGCCAAAAAAGTTCCAGTACGCGAGAATTTGAACGACGAGGTCAGGCTTCGGGATGAGGGAATTGGGGTCACGAAAGCGAGTGCAGGAACTCCAGGTGTACGGGTGTACGGACAAGCAGCATGCGGCTGTAAACGGTAGGTGATTCGCAACAATTACACTTCAACTGTTTAGCCCAAGATGGGAGGGAGTGCTTCAAGATGCAACCCAGTCGAAACAGAATTTGCACTGTACATAATCAGCTTATAGGCAGAAGTAGGGTTAGAAGTACCCATGCGGGTAGAAACAATTCTAAGTGTAGGTACCTTACTCGTATTCCTAGTTGGCAGTGGGCAAGGTCAAAGCGGTCTAGGGTATAGGGGCTGCCATAGGCCGTCAGCGTTTTGGAGTTGGAAAGAACAGCGACCACAGATACGAGAGCCTTTTCTGGTGTTAGGTTTACGGGGTGTCTTGACAATTGCAACTAACGCACTGCAAACCCGCACTCAGGGGCCAGTAGAGCAAAAGCCAAGGCCACACTGCAAACAACAACATTTCGGAAGATACTGCAGAAAGACGGTCTGACACACTCCGCCCAACCAACAACCACATATGAAAATCCACCACCAAAGCAAACAACACGGCAGCTGTAAGGGACAGGCCATTTTTGCTGTACAAGCCAACCAGGGCAACAAAATAGCCCACAGAATCATCACCCATCAGAGCATGCAAACAGCTCACATTGCCTAACATCACAATCTCCGTTTTGAGTTCGTCCCATGTCCCTGATTCTTTGATTTACTGTTGTGGTTCCATGATGCATCACTTCGAAACTAGCGTGCATGTCGTGTTCTGCTGATCCTGCCATTTCACCTGATTTCCGGTCCTTTCTTATGCTTCAATATTGTCCTTCTCAACTGCTTCCTTGCAGATGCGACTCCTTTGCTTCGTCCTTCTGAGTTGCTGTCCTGCTTCCTCAGAATCAGAAGAACTACTTCCGCTGATTCCATGCAGAGCCTTCCCCTTCAAGAAGCCATGACCCACAAGACCGACGTCAACTTCCGTTTCTGCGCAGTATTCCCAGTGTTCGCCGAGATCCAGACTTGTCGTCTCCTGGCTCGGAGCTTGTGGAGCTTGCGGAGCTTGCGGAGCTTGCTGCGGAAGCTCTAACCTCACTGAACTCTCAAAGTCTCTAAGAAAACGGAAGCTCTAACCTCCACGAGGTGCAAAACAGGGGAAAAGGTTTGAGCGTGCAATCAAGTGGTTCCGAACGTATTCAAGTTATCAAGTTATCAAGTTATCCTGTCTGCACTTTTAGGAAACCGGTACAAAACTTCGGCCAGTCTACAAAGGTGTTTGGAGTGTTCAAGCCCGCGAAGTCCGTGCGCAGGGGATTCGCACTAACCCACTAACACGAAGGTGACACCACCGGCACTCAGAGCTCGGCTTGTGCAGTGCCTCAGCTTTTCCAAGCTTTGAAAACATGACAAATACGAAAAACTGAAAAAGCACATAAAGCCAATGAGGAAGTTCTGACATGTTCTGATGGCAGGGCGCCCCTTCGTATCGGCGCTTCAGAACCTGTGCCGATCACCACGTGAAACTCACGCATGGTGCAAGTTATATACCACGCACTCCCCATCACTCTGTAATCTGGGGGCCTCCGCATCAGGGCTCTCTTTTTCGAACTTCTGGCGGTCGGTTTCCTGGTCAATGTACCTGACACTGCCAGCAAGCTGCTGCGGCACTTGTCGCTTGCACTCCTGAACGTCTTGCCGTGCACCCTGCATGGCTACTCTGTTCGAGCCGCACCACATCGCAGAAAGCGCCAGGTTCTTCGCATTCTCGGTGGAGACCGTAACGAGGTTGTCGGGCTGCGAAAAGCAGCAAAGCACGGACGAACACAGACGAACTTAAAAGGAGATGGTGAGAGAGACGGAGAAAGACTCCAACAGAACAAGAAAAGCCACTCAAAGACCTCTCCCCTCGCCTCGTCGCCTTCTTTGGCATTAATGGCCTTCAAACGATCTCGCATTTTCCTCGAGGCTCCAGGCATGAAGATTTTTGAAGCTACACGGCAAATTCATGCAAATATTCATTCGCTCGAGAAATCTGGGAAGCCCCGGCACCGTGAAGCCGTCATCTCCAGGCTGGAGTTGCCGCGGCTGGCGTTAGGGGAATCATCCATCATGCTCTTATACGTCTTATACTCCATCAACTCCATCAACTTCAAAGGTAATACTCTCTCTGCGGTTCCGTGCCAGGAGTTCAGGCTTCCTCTGCGGCATTTTGAACACAAGGGGCTTCCAAGGTTCCTGGAGCGAGGCAAAGCTTCTGGACAAGGACCCCGTGACTTGTGCGCAAAAAAAAGAAAGCACATCTGAAAGGTTCAGAATGCACATCTCAGCCGTCTTAGCGCTTCGCCTTGCCTGTGCTGTTGCCTTCTTGGGGCCACCCTGCAGGCTGCATCACTTTCGAAGCTTTGAAGCTGCATTACAAACAGGCTCCTGCGCTCCAGCGGCAACCAGCCTCACATTATGTCTCGGAAGGTGCACATCGAAGCGAGTATGTCCGGCTGCTGCATCGCCGCAACTGAAAATACACAATCTTGGCCCTGCCCATCTGAGGCCCATGCCTCCTCCGCGGTGCTGCGCGCACGTTGGTGAAGGCTCTAGAGGCGACGGTCATGCTCAGGCACACGACCACGAAAAGGCCTCAGAGCAACGACGCTGCGCTTAGCTCAACATAGCGGGGAGACGTACGCTGCCGTTAGATCCGATTCACTTTCAATTGGTCTTTAATGTTGGAAAAATACATTATACTCAAGATGAAATTGCACGTGCTGCAAAACTGGTGGATGATCGACCATTTGGACGACCACATACTACTCATTTATTACCAAAGCATGCTGAAGTAAAGATGGAACAAACATGATTCAGGATTATATACAGCAAGGTTTTGATTGCATAGATCTGATGTAGGTTGTGATCAATGGCCATTTAGAATACATACACACACTCTCGCACTTTCTTGTCACTGCCATCACACGCCTTGGCTTAAGCATCTCTCAAGTCTCAAGCCAAAGCCATCGCCACCTCATGCCGCCTCAAAGCAGACACCGAAGACACCGTCGAAGCGATGCACAGAGCTCTTAAAACATCGCCGGCTCCTTATTCTTCGTCATGCCTGGAGTTCCACTGCGAACCGGGCCACAAAAAACAGCAAAGGAAATATGGAAATATGGAAATATGAAGAAGAAAAGAAAAAATGATGATGATGAAAACATGTTTTGCTCAGCTCTGCACAAAGTGCTGTGGACTCACGCCCACGCGGCGGATCGCCCTTTCAGCTGCCCTCTTTGCATCCCAGCTGATGGAGTCTTTTGCCAACTTGTAAGCCTTTTCGGCCTCCTCTCGAGCCGTTGCTGTTTCTTTCTTCCTCAGGAAATCATGCCAAAATGGCACGAAGGAGTCACGCAGTGTGCAAGATATTGCAAGATGCAGGCGAAGGTCCTGAAGTGAAGCTCTGAGCTCAGCGACAGGGCTCTCGATTCCTTAGACCACGGCTAAGAATCCAAGCATGAAGGTAAACAGGTCCAAGTGCGAAGAAGGCATCTGTAGTAATTTCCAAAAGAAAGCGTCAGTGGTCTTGTCTCCAATTCTCTCGCTGAGTGCAGCAGCCTCCGCCGTGGCGGCCAATGCTTGGTCCCACTTGCCCACACCTGAGATCAACCCATTAACTCGTAAAAGAAAATTGTAACTAGCCTCTTCTGAATCAAAACAAGAAAAGCTTGGACATGTTGCGAAATTTTGCGAGATGTCGAGGAACTTGCTTCGACCTCTGCAACCACGTAGAGACTGGTGGCGATGACAGCCTCTGGCAGCGGAACAGCACAGCCAGATACAGTGACATGCTGAGCATTTCTTCCGAGACTTCGCCTTGTCCTGCAACTTCCGCGCCAACAGAACTCCCTCTTTCGCTGGTGTCATGACCTTGCTCAAGCTTCGAAACACAATCCTTGGCTTTGTCAGGTTGAGTTTTTGAATGCTTTGGACAAGCCGCTCGTCGTGACTTAAGCGCTTTCAAACATGAGGTGTGCTGCCCTGCGTCTTCTGAGCCTCCTTCTCTTGCAAACCTTCCACCAACTTGGCTACAAGCTGGGCCTGCATCTGCGCTTCCCAACCGAGCATCTCAGTCAGCGCATACTTGTCGCCTGCCTGGTGATTGCTCAGGTTGCAACCGCTGAGCCGAGATTACGCAGGCAACCGAAGCATTGACAGTTGGAAGCACGCGCCTTCTTGCAGAACACAACGGCTTCTCCTGCATTTCTTGCGGCTTCCTCGGGCTTGTCCTGCTCGCAACAAGCATTTCCCACCTTCTTCACAGCTTTCGCCACCTGCTTCGGCTCGCCAGCTTGCCGGAACATATGCTCGGCTTTGCGAGCTTCTGCTTCTGCCTCGTCCGGCTCCTGTCTAGAGAGGTAAATGTCCGACAGCGCCAAGTGAGCACTGGCCATCCCAACCTCATTGGCAACATCACTGAAAGCTGTCATCGCATCATTGGCCAATTGGAAAGCATCTCGAAGGAATCGACGCGCACGGCTATCGACGCGAGCTAGCTGTTCGCGTGTCAGCACTTGTGCGAGCTCCAGCATTGCCTGTGCCTCTCGGCTCCTCGCGCCCACGTCTCGGAAAAGGTGGCGCCTGTCTTTCAGTACTTCAGCGGCCTTGCTGTCGTCACCCAAATGGATGAAGCATGTCGCCAAGGAGGGCAAACACTCTGCTTCAAGATACTTGTCGCCCAACATCTGCAGCTGGCTCCTGGCCTGCCTGCACTGCAATTCGCAGTTTAAGCAACATCACCAACATTCACCAACCAACCCCTAAACAAACCATGAAAGCCAGCCAAAGCATGAACAACTATTCGGGGTGAGCCAACAACAAACACAAGGATGAGATACCTCCGCTACAATAATGCCACCAGGACTCGCGGCCCAATCACGAGCTGATTCCACTTGCTTCCTAGTTTTCCGTGCCAAGTGAAGGCTGGAAACGAGCTCGAACTCTCTGGCCATCCATTCGGCGGCTCGCAGGTTTCGAAGTGCAGTGAGCGTCTTGTCAGCCACTATTTGCGCCTCTTTCTACAAGCATTGGTGACCAGTGACTGCGCACATAACACAACATCGGCAATAATCACACATGGCGACACATGATACACATGCTACGTTCACTTCAGCTTGCAATGTATACATGACGGTTTACATCTTCGCACACACGCACACATACATGTGTGCGTGTGTGTGCGCGTGCATGCTGGCCTTCGTGCGATCTGGCTCTGACCTCATCTCCCTCAAAGCTTCCAGCAGAATATCGCGTACAAGGAGGCAAGGGCGCAGAGCTCTGAATGCTCTGCAGCTGCAGGCATGTTCCCGCACAACTTCAAGCGCGGTCTGACGGGAGGTTTCAGACAGAAGGGCTTTCACTTGAACTGCCAAGCTGAATTCAGCCCATCCTTGCCAGCACCTACGCTCCATGAACAAGGAGCGTGCTTCTGCGGCAGCTGCTGCGGCATCACGGGGTCTCCCTCCCTTCTCGTGAGAACTCAACGCAAGCAAATACAGCAAGGCAGATAAAAGCCCAGAATCTCCGACCTCCTGGGCCAAAGGCAAAGCTTCTTTCACCACAGAGATCACTTCGAAGTGCTTTCGCTGCAGCTGCGCCGCTGTTGCCAAGACGAAAAGGGCACTGCACTCACCGTGTTTGCTCTGCAAAGAGCGAAAAAGCTGGAGCGCTTCCGTGGCTAAGGCCTTTCCCAAAAATATCTCATGCCTCCTCAAGTGCACATTTGCTAGAAAGACAGAACTCAGCGCCAAGCCTCTGTTTTCACTTTTGTTTCGGAAATGCCTTTTCACATCCTGCAAGGGGACATCAAGGCACAGCGACCGATTAAGACTCCACTGAATGTCACAAACTCCGTCACCTTTCGTCCCCTAAGACGTGCTCTCAAACACCGTTGCAACAGAAACTCTACTGACTCTACTGCAATAGTCGCGTATCCGATTCCTGTCCTCACCAGCCTTCAAAGCATCTGCATGAGACTGACGCCCGCTATCATGCATTATCTCTGCCCGCGACAAAGACAGCGCAATTTGTGCAACTTGGTTGCCATGCAACTCAGCACGCTTAACTTCTTCGTCTAAGAAGACTGTAGCCACATCTAGGAGGGAACGATCACGGCCGTGTGCCTCAAGGCCGACGCCCATGGGACGCGCAATCGCTTGCGCCCGTAAGGCGTGCACCACAAGTCTTGCACAAAAAGCTGCGGACTGGACGTCCCCTGATATATTGAACAATTGTAATGCTTCAGTTGCTGCATTTTCTGCGTGGAGAAGGTCGTCAATGCATTTCGCGGTCATCAAACCACGCTCCGCAATGGAGAACAAAAAAGCACCGATTCTCCGAATACGCGAAACTTCCTGTGCATCTGCAAGCTGTGAAAACACATCTGCGAGGCCATCAACCAGCGTACCAGCAGCATCCAGCAAATGAAAACCCGGCGGGGAGATGTAAGTTGTCACGTCCATTTGAGTCCACCTCTTGTGTCGGCATGCCGTTTGACGGCCTATCGGCTATCAAGCAAGCTGAACCAACTTGAACCAGCTGTGCAAGCCTTCATGCTGTCAGCACCCATACAATCACAGCAATCCCCACATGCCGAAAACTAATCCAGAAACCCCTGTACTGACACATGTGCTGCCTCGCTGATTCTGACCTTCGAAAACTCAGGACACAACCTGTCCAGAAATATCGACAGCTCCGTGCGCCATGCCTTGCAAAGCTTCAAGCAACAATGCAATTTCACTTGTCGCTACACACTGCCAGCTTCACAGATGCCTCGACCATACAGGGCGCCCATGAAGGCACTCAGACATTGCTTCGTTACCTCGTGTGGGACCTCCGTAGCCCATTTTGCGCAAACAAACATAAGGTTTGCTGGTGGCAATGAGTTCAATGGGAGCAATAGCAGGGTTCGCGATTTGTGCAACAATGTTCGTCGACTCGTCTGATTCTTCGTCTGGAAAGTGTTGCAATGTTGCATCAATGTGCACTGCACTGGAGAGGGACCGGAAGCAACTGCCATTTCGGCCTGTGGGCAACTCATGACATGAACCCCAAGGTTTTAGGTGACCGACAAATTACTTTTCGGACCAACATTCCCCCAAACAAAGGGTCAGCAAGCATCGCCATCTACGAGAAGTTTCATGCCACAAACTGTTTATGGGGTACCAGTCTCAATCTGCAGTTCAAAGCAACAATCCATTTTTTGGGTCGAACATATTCCACGCCATGCAATGCAACGCAATGCAAGAAAGGCACGGCAAAGCAAGGCAAGGCAATGCAATGCAATGCAAAACTGTCAGCAACACGATGCTTGAAAGCTTGCTCAGAAAAAAAGGCTGAAACCAGAGCTCAACCCCACGTTTCAACCCAGCTTCCAAACTTGGGTTTGAAAAGTGCAAGAGTTCAAACCTGGGTTTGTGTGTTATTGCTGTTCAAAAGTGCTGGTTCAGACCCCCCCCGGCGCCCTAGCCACCGGATGGTTTGAACTCGGGCTCGATCCGGGCGAGGTGGTTTGCTGAAACACGGAGGTTCGCCAACAGATCTCTTTGCCTGGCACCTGGCCGACACGGCGCCCTCGTTTGCCTTGCTGCACTTCATGTCCATGTGCGTCGATATTCAACCAAAACACTCCCCGCGTGATTCAAAAAAGGACCTTCGAAACCATGCTTTCCGCTCGCGAGTAACCAAAATTTGATTAGCGAGCCGCATCAATGCAACGCGCGTTTCCGCAAAAAACCTGGCCAACAAATTGCTGTTTTCCTGTCGCACCACTGTGGGTGGAAGCCCGCCTCCTCCTCCTCCTCCTCCGACGACGACGACTACTACTACTACTACTACTACTACTACTACTACTACTACTACTACTACTACTACTACTACTACTACTACTACTACTACTACTACTACTACTACTACTACTACTACTACTACTACTACTACAACTGGAAGCGCCTGTGTTTGCATGATAGAGACATGTCCCCTCGCTTCGTGCGTTGTGTGTAGGTTGCATTTTGCAGCAAGCATCATTGTAGCATGCGATGCAGTGACGTAGCAATTGCATGTCGTTTGCTCTTGCTTTTGTACAGCTCCACGTCATCTCGACTGCAGCTGTGGACACTCAAACTCTTCTCAAGGTCGTAGCTCAAAGCAGTTTGCTTAGCTATTAGCCGAAGGCAACAAACCCGCCATAGTGCCTGTTAACGTACTGCAGCTGCGCAGCAGGTTGCGAGCTCTTGAGTACGATCCACTTGGGATCGCCTGCACTGTGATCCGGGACTTTGCGCGAGAAGCAAGGAAACAATCGGCAGACCGAGTGACTGCGCTAGGCCAAGGAACCCAAGTAGCCTGCTTTGGACGTTTCCCCCGGGTCCACTGGACCTTCTTCTAGTTGGGGGCTGTTCTGGGAAATCACTCCAAGCAGCTACAATGGCGATGCCATCTTCAAGAGGCTACTCAGCCGGGCCCGCAGTCTTGACCCTCCGAGGCGCCAAACCTCGCCGAGTGGTCTTACGATATCTCAGGCCGAAAAGGAAAGGGTGGCACTAGAGGCCAGGCAATTCTTGAGGAGCCAGGCCAATAAGCGCTATGGCAGTTTTCTTCAGGAGTTGAAGCGCCGTGGTGTCACTGTTACCACGTCGGAAGCAGCTGAGCTTTATCACCGAGTGGAGCCACTCGTGTTTGGTTCGGCTCATGCGCAGGTGGCGTCAGCCTATGGAGGAACGTCTCCCCCTGTGCCACCCCCAACATCTGGCAATGTTTCCAGGGGCCGTGGAAATCGGTCGGAGCTGACTCGCGAAGTTGTCGAGGGAGCCGAAGATCCCGAGACCGGAGCCTCGCTCTCCGAGTTGAAGACCTCGTTTTTGAGCGCGATGGACCCAGATGTCGAGACGCTAGACGAGTACGAGGTCCGACTTAGTCAGGGAGTCGAGATGGCGCGAGCCGATTGCCGCGATGAGGCCTTAGTTACGCCGAAAGCATGTTGGGTGAGGCTCAGTATGGGACCGCCTATGCGCGCTTCCAAAAGTTCGCCACCGATGCGACGTCCCAAGCCAAGGGAGCAGACGTTGTGCTTCGAGGCATTGGCGCCGGTATTTCAGGACTCTTGCAGAAGCCAGGAGCGGATCCTGTGGCGATCTACTATCGTTACGATGGAGCTGTCCGCGCTTACAGGGAACTTGGGGGTACCGACCCGTCTGGCCGTGCACAAGCACGTTGCAATCCTTGCATGAGAAGGCCGAGAATGCTTTCGATGCCCGGAGTTTACCTCCGAGTTCCGCTGGGTCTGTCCGATCCTCTCAGGACTGGTTGTGGGAGAATTGTGGTTTGGTGTCCCCATCTCGTTTTCGTCACCCCTCCTGCGGCCGGCGCTGTTCACCGAGGAAGAGACATGGGTCGCGCGCCAGAAGAGGATGTTGACTTTGCAGCGGGCGACTTTCCGACTCAAATGCATCACCCAATCGTGCTGGGCCAAAGCAAAAGAGCTCAAAACGCAAAACGAAACTTCCGCAACGATAACATCGGTCACTACAAAACGCGACTTGCCAAACTGGACCCTAAGGTCCACTAGACCGTACGTCCGTATCCGCTCTTCGGCAGCCGACCAGAGCTCCGGAACAGAATGATGGACTCGAACAACTTCGTATCTCCGCAGAGCTTCCCGGGTCATCACATGCGAAGTGGCCCCTGAGTCCACTAGCCACGCTTCCGTCTGACCCTTCACACTACAAACCCCGGCGATTCTCGCCCCAGTCCTTTCAGCAACCACAGAAATCTCACTACTGTTCAAGGCCATGATGGTTTCACACTCAGGCTCAGCCTCACTTTGCCCTTCTTCTTCAGTAAGGCTGCGTTGCTTGCCCTTCTTCTGCTTTCCTTTGCCCTTGCCCTCCTGCTTCGGCTTCTTGCAGTCCACTGCCACGTGGCCTTTTTCACCACAGTTCCAGCATTTGGTGCCGGACTTGTTTGCTGACCGCGGCGTAGAGGCACCACCTCCTCCTCCTGCAGCAGCCTTCTCGGCCTTCGCTTGGCTCTTCCCACCTTTGCCTTGTTTTTCTTTGCCTCCTTTCCCGTCAGGCTGTGCATCCCAGCAGTCTTTCGACACATGGCCACTGCGGCCACAGTTCCAGCACTTGGGCGACCCTTTTCCACCTCCTTTGCCCTCTTTTCCGCCAAGACTATGTCATCCATCTGGCTTGAAAGAGGTATCGCCGATCACGCGGGTGCGGATGTAGTAGGTCTCGATGGCCTCTTTGACACCTTTCACTGTCTCATTCCGTGCATGCAGCTGCGCGTACTTTTTCACTCCTGCCGGCACATTCCTGAGATAGATCAAGTACACGTCGGCTTCTTGAACTCTCAAATCAGGCATCCTCAGCCCGACTCCACCTTCAAGCATCCGGTGGTACTTGTTCACGGCTACTTCTACCAAACGAACAGTCTCCAAAAGATTCGTCCCGTGAGGAACTTGGTACGACAACAGCTGGTTTCGGTAGTGCAAAGCCTCGTTCCTACTTTGCAAGGAAAACTCGTTGGTGATCCTTCTCAGAAGCTCATACCCGCTTGCCCTCTGCACTGCTCCGACAGAGTCAAGCAAGCAAGCAACACTTTCCACTCTGCCAAATCCTGCAAATGCTTGTCTCAACAAGTGCAAGATTCTTTGGCTCCTTTGGAACTGTTCAGCGTTCATCAGGTCATGCGTCAAAGGCCTTTCCATCGGCCCTCGAGACACGGCTTCTTGTATCTCTGGCCCAAAAGCATTGCACAGCACGCTCACCCAATTGGTGAACGCTTCCAACCAAACGCTGTACTCATGAATCTCTGTGATTCTGTCCTTCCAAGCCTTCCAACCAGGGAGGTAACCACTTCATGTCCAACTTCCCAGCGCCTTCCACCCTCTCTCCTGCTCCCAAAGGTGCAGAAACTGAAGACGGTGCTGCAAACTGCGCACTTGCGGCTGCTGTTGGTGCTGCTGCTGTTGCTGCTGCTGGTTTGCAAGAACACTCACCAACTGGGTTACTGCTTGCGTTTGAGCTTGCACTGCTTGCAAAGTTTGCGCCATCATCGCCATGATGGGCCCAAGCTCTTGGTGTCCAGAAAAAAGGAACCTGAGCTCCACTTGAAGCTGTTTCATTCGGAGGAGTGTGCACTTGGTACACTTGGGGTCCGCTGCTGCTTGCGGCAAGGGGCTGCAAAGGGCTTACTGGACTAAAAAGGGTTTGTCACACTTGGAGTCGGAGTAGCACTCGGCGGCGTACCATCACCTTCTTGCGCCATTTCTTCCTGGAACCCCGTAAGGCTCCGCTACCATGTAAAAGTTTGGTAGCTTCTCGAACTTCTCACAAGCTCCACAGAGCTCCAAACTTCCTCACGTCTCGCTTCTCTGAGCAAAGAGTAGCAGCTCCACACTCCCTTCAGGCTTCTCTGAGCAAAGAGTAGCAGCTCTGCACTCCCTTCAAGCTTCTTTGAGCAAAGAGTCGCATCCACACTCTCTTCCGGCTTCTTTGAGCAAAAAGTAGCAGCTCCACACTCTTCAGGCTTCTCTGAGCAAAAAGTAGCAGCTCCACACTCTCTTCAGGCTTCTTTGAGCAAAAAGTAGCAGCTCTACACTCCCTTCAGGCTTTTCTGAGCAAAGAGTAGCAGCCACACTCTTTTTAAGTTCTTTGAAGCAAAAAGTAGCCGCTCCACACTTCCTTCAAGCTTCTCTGAGCAAAAATAGCAACTCCCACTCTTTCTTCAAGGTCTTTGACCAAACCACTTCTCAAGCCGATTCAACAACGTCAAGCACTTACAAATCTTCTATATGCAACATAAACCTTTCTGAAGCCTCATGCTGCCAAACCAAGCATGTTATGACAAAAGCAAAAACTCTGGCCATGCATACAAAACAATTTAAAGGAAAGCTTTGCGCATTGAAAGCAGCTTGCAACTGTTGGCCCTCTGAAGCAGCGGTCGTAGTGCTCTTAGCAGGAACAGCAAGTCTTTTGCTTGGAATGAGTTGTGTTGGTTGTGCGTGGTGGTTGACAAGCAGAAACAACGCAAAGAAGGCAGGCAATTTGCGGGACACGTCTTTTGCTGGTGCTATCACCTGAGCTTTGTTTTCCGCGTTTGTTTGAGCTCTTGCACCTTAAGTGGCACTTGAGTTGTGTAAGCTGTCTGCGACTGTGTGGCTTCGTTTTGGGAGAGTGTTGAAAGCCCAGAGTTGACCTAGAAAGCCTCACATGCAAACGCATGTTGTTTGCCTTAACCGGAGTCTCGTGTGAGCGTGAGAAAGCCAAAAGAAGTGTTTGGAGTGTCTGTGAGCTGTGTGACGAGAAGAGTTGCTTGCACTTGGACTTTGGAATACGAGTGAGTTGCTTGTCTTGTGCGTGACTTTGGTCTCTTACGGAACCAGGTTCCAACCCAGGTCAAACCCAGTTCTTTTTGCATCGAGCTTCTATTTTCATTTGCGGCGCAGTAATTAAGAAATGCTTATGAAAGGTAAAATTTAAAACGTAATAACGAAAGCAACGTGCGACAAAAAGACCAACAAAGAAACACCAAACCGACAAGGCACAATCCAGAAGGATTGGGTGGGACCATTCTTCCGAATTTTTTCAAGCTCCCGAGAATTGTCCCCTGCTCAAGCCCCCTTTGCAAAATCATTGCAATGTGGTTTTAAATGGCGCTGAATAAAATTAAAGTCCGGAGCTGCCAGAAGCCAAATGGAGTCGACATGATAGAGGCGTCAACAAAAAACAGAATTCTAGTGCATCAACTGTGTGGACTATTCAACAAACAACGACATACCACATTAGAGCACTGCCAAAGCCGAATCGTTTGTCAAGCTAAATGTCCCACAAGATGTCTCGGGCTTAATTTACATGTATGGGTTCAGGGTTTAGGGTTGATTAGGGTTCAGAGTTTAGGGTTTTAGGGTTTAGGGTTTAGAGTTCAATGTAGGGTTTGGGGTTTATTTACAGGAATTAGGGTTTTTATAGAGTTTAGGGTTTAGGGTTAATTTAGGGTTCAGACTATAGGTTTTAGGTTCAAGGTTAAGGGCGAAGGGTTAAGGGTTTAGGGTTGGACTTCAGGTTTATAGGCTTACAGGGTTCTAGGTTTTAGGGTTTAGGGTTTAGGGTTTAGGGTGTAGCACGGGTCAGCTGAACGCAATGGCGTGAATACATGCCCACCCCAAGGCCACCCAATCACAACTTCCTGCAAACCAAACGGAGCCAGCCCAAGCCAAGCCAACCATTCACAACTCAAACATCCAACAGTTCAGAGGACACTTCGGTTCAAAAGACAGAGTGCTTGGGACATTTGCGATTGGCAAGGACCCCTCCCCCCCGTCAGGTTTTTGTGTAGGGGACGGTCTGGGCCGAAGGGCCCTTTCATAGAAAATTCCAGGGCATGAACGCTGGATCACCTGGGCAAAGGATGCTCCTTCAGGTTTGTGCGAAGGGGGCGGTCTGGGCGTTGCCGATTGGGGATCACTTGGGAGGCTAAACCTCCACTGCAGGGCGCAGGGGCCTTCTCAGTGTCAGGACCTTCAGGGCCTCGGGCCAGGGGCCTCCGGCCTTCAGGGCCTCCAAGCGGCCCAAGGATCCCCCCGACAGTTTTAGGGTCACACAATATCTACAGCGACCAAGCTTGGCGACCGCTCAGAGGTGCGGTGGGCAGGCTCTGCAGCTCAAGCAGAGCCTGCCATGGTCTCGCTGAGCGCGACTGCGCCCGCCTGCCCAACAGAGGTGAGAGGGGTGGCGGGCGGGTTTAAGGTTTAGGGCTTAGGGTTCAGGGTTTAGGGTTCAGGGTTTAGGGTTAAGGGAGGGCTTATAGGGTTTGGGGTCTAGGGTTTGAGGTGTAGGTTTAGGGTTTGGCTTTAGGATTTAGGGTTTAGGGTTTTCAGGTTTAGGGTCCAGGGTTCCCTAAACCCTAAACCCTAAACCCTAAACCCTAAACCCTAAACCCTAAACCCTAAACTCCAAACCCTAAGCCCTAAACCCTAAACCCTAAACCTTAAGTTAACCCGGCCTAAACCCTAAACAGGCCCCTAAACCCTAAATCATGTATCACACATGAATTTTGATTGTTTTGGGGTCCCTGGCCCGGGACAGTGGGGTTAAAAAAGGTCAAAATCTTAACTTTTACCGAAAAGCATCGCGAAGGGTTCTTCCGTGCGGAGCCCTCTGACCGAAACCTCTGACCCAACAACATAGACTGAATTGCATTGAGTGAAGTGCGTAGAGTTAAGTACATAGAGCGAAGTGCATAGAATTAAGTGCGTAGAGCGAAGTGCAGTGAGTGAAGTGCATAAAGTGAAGTGCATAGAGTGAAGCGCGTAGAGTCAAGGGCATAGAGTGAAGTACATAGAGTGAAGTGCATAGAGTCAAGTGCATAGAGTTAAGTGCGTAGAGTGAAGTGCACAGAGTGAAGTGCATAGAGTCAAGTGCATAGAGTTAAGTACATGCGAGCGAAGTGCATAGAGTTAAGTGCATAGAGTGAAGTGCAGTGAGTGAAGTGCATAGAGTGAAGTGCATAGAGTGAAGTGCATGGAGTTAAGTGCATAGAATGAAGCACATAGAGTGAAGTGCGTAGAGTAGAATTCACAATTTTAGTGCCAATTTCATAAAATTTACGAGATTTTAATAGAATTTAGTAGACCTTCGTACCCATTTCTTAATGAAAATTACTCTTTCTAAGGCGGCGGGCTGGGTTGACGTCGCCAATCGGGATTGCAACCCTCTGCAGGTTTCGGCGTGGTCGCGGTGTTAAAACCGTCGTTTTTTTCCGTTTCCGGGTCGCGGTGCAAAAACCCTCGTATTTGGTACTTTTTTTCGTGGGCGCAGACAACCCTCTGCGTGTTTCGGCGTTGGCGCGGTGCCAAGACCGTCGTGTTTTTGCGTTTTTGGACATACAAACGTAACCCCTGTGCGGGTTTCCCACAGTCCCCCGCAATTTTTTTTACGGTTTAGTGTTTGAAGCAGGCTTGCGTGGAACCTCGAGACGTTTGACGTGCTAGGGACCTATCTGAAAACGATAGGGGTCGATCGCCCGCATAGGGGTCGATGTCAAAGCCGCCCCCCCTATGTATAGGACCGGTACCTATCCGTTTCCGGTAGACCCATGTAGATAGGGCTCTATCCCCCTGAGGATATACGGGTAGCGGGTCTGTCGCGATAGGCCCCTATAAAGTAGGTACCTATCGTAGAAGAGATAGACGCCTATTTATCAAGCATTCCGTTCCGTTGTAAAGGTTAACATTTGTGTGCTTCGGGCCATTTTTGTCTCTCGGTTTTCTAACTCAGCCTTTCCGTTTTCTGACTCGGTCTTCCTTGTTTTCTGACTCGGTCTTCCTTGTTTGCTGACTCGGTGTTGGAGTTTTCGACACGTTTTTTCTGACTCGACCCTCACCCTGCAAACGATGCGGTTGAGGAATCTCCCTCACTTGTGGCCCAGAATGCCCACCCAAGGCTCCCGATCGCCGTCCGGGCAACATTGTCCCCCTGTGGCCGGCAAGGAAGGCACCAGACGCAACGCAGTCAGAACTTCGCTTTGCTTCCACACCTCTGTGGTGTTGTTTTCAAAGTAGAACGGTGTGTGTGTGTGTGTGTGTGTGTGTGTGCGTGTTCACTCACGGTTGTTTGTATTACTTTGATATAAAACTCGCTTGCGTCGCTTTCGCCTCCATTTCGCGCCCAACAGCCAGGAGTGCAAGCAAGCTTTACTTTTAGAGTGGTTAAAGCACGCGCCTAGCCCGACCGTTTCAAAAGCTGCTCAGTGGTGGTTGCCTTCTCGAGTCTTTGCAGCTTCGCTTTGTTTCCACCCGTGTCAAAAGCAACCTCTGAGTTTCTTAGCTTTAGCTTCAGGCATTGGTTCTGGTTCTTTCCAGCCTTGGGTTGAGGTTTTTGCTTCCCTTGTGATCTCCTTTCGCTACAATTGTCCCTTTGCCACCTTTTGCCTGTCTTTTGCCCACCTTTGCTCCAACGCTGGCCCTTGGGGCCTCTAAGGCCCTTTGCCAAAATGAGCCCACGGGGGGCCTATAGGCGAGGGCGTGAATGTGAGAATGTGAGTATGGCTGGGGCCTTAACACATGCCAAAACCTGCCCAAAACGCCATTGCACAAACACCCATGAAAGCTGAAACCGAAGACAATTCTGCACTTCACGAGGGGTGCACAGGACCGAGGCGCGAGCGCCATTCGCAATGCGACGGAACGCAAGTCTCCTTGTGATGGACGGACGGAAGCAACCCATGGAGAACCCAAATGCAGGAAAGTGCCTGGTCGTCGCGGCACGCAAACATGTAAGTCTATGCAAGCTTCAGACGTTCACGTGACTTTGGTGGGAGCTTCGTCGTTCACGATTGAACAGCCCAGGCGAGAGATCGGTCCGAAAAACCCAAAATGTAAAAGTAGACGGCCAGACTGATTTCTCGTCGGAACTTGTATCAATGCATGGAACGCAATGCAATTTTAGTTTGAACTTTCTTACAGGATGTCGCCTGCCTTGCCGTGCATGGGCAGCTTTACTGTTGTCATCAAGGAAAGCAGCAAAGCATGCTGTGGGGACAGGGAAACCGAAATTTCACTGCTTTGCAGTTCAGACTTTCTTACAGCAACTAAGGGCCGCAGAATATCGCAGAATGCTAGGGAAGTTTCTGCCCAATGGCAAAGCAGGCAATGCAAATTCGGCGTTTGTGCTTCTGAAAGATTGTCATGCCCGTTTTGCTTGCCTGCATGTTTCAGGCTGAGTTGAAATCCTGGACAGCTGATCGCATTGGTGATCTGATCGGCCAGACACAAGATTCGGATTGTTCGGAGATTGCGGAGTTCATCTTGGGCAGTGATGATCTCAACGAGCCGGACACTTTGAAGGCTTTGTGGGTTCTTGCGCAGATGAGTTCTAGGCGTCTTGGTTTGCTTTTTCATGGCTGGTGGGCCTGATGTTTTTGTACCTTGCTCTTGGGTGTAGCGCCATTGCGCATTGTTGATGCCGTTTCAAGGCATCTGCCCTTGACCGAATTTTTTTCAGGGTGCGGCCGTACTTTGCATTTTTTGGGCAGGCATGGCTCAGCTCCTTCTTGGCAGAGGAGGGCGCCAAGCACAAGGCCATTGCGGGCACATGTAATGACATGTCACGTGCAAGGTGTATCATTGAGAACAGTTGGTTTTCGATTTGTGGCAGCGGTTGGGCCTTTTCTGGTAAGCCAGACCTGCCGGAGACATGTCGATGAACACAAGTTGGCACGTGTTAAGGTGGATAGCTTCGTGGAGGCATTGTTCGAGTTGCGTCCTGAGCTTTTGTACTTCCGGCATGATCGTTGCACTTTCGCCTCTCCTGAGTTCATGCGTGTTGCTGAGACGAAAAGCGCACATCTCCAAAGGCAGAGATCACGAATCTTCGGTGACATGCTGTGCTCTAAAACTGAGTGCCTTGGGCCTTGACATGAGTCGGACACATTGTTGCCAGGTGTGAGCGGCCATGAAGTCCAGGCGCAGGCACAGCACACCATCGGCCGTTTTTCGATGGTGGGGGAGAAATTGGGCATTTCTGAGAATTCCCTTGGCAGGGCACTGCAAAAGGAAAGACGAAAGATGGCAAAGGGGGGAAGGTTCCCTTATGTCTTCTTATGTTCACTTCGCAAAAGTTCGCAGGAGCCAACCCAATTACCACTTCTTAGCCTTTGCCAGGCTGGACGCGGTCGGGGGGAGGAGGCACCGCTGCAACAGGGTTGAGCATTATCCAGAATTTTAGTGTGTGCAACCACTTGGAGAGCGTAAGTGCGCAAGATTCTGGTACAGGACCGAAGCAAAGGCAAGAGTGGCAGAGGCACTCGAGTTAGTCACCTGCGGCATACCACGCCATACATGTTTAGTCACTTCTGTTTACGTTTTAGTGCACGCGAGGTGAACGGCAGAGAGAGCTTCCGACCATGGACATGCCCTTCTTGCCCCGCCGCGAGGCAGCGAAAGTTACAGAGCCAAAGTGTTTCAAGTGTTTTGAGAAGATGTGTGCTCCAGGGTGATAAGCGCCTTATGGTGGTGGATGCCTCGTCCGGCCGGCACAATGCCCCGGCCTTTCTGAGTGTGAGCGCTTCGGAGATTTGATGTGTTTCAGTAGGCTTCGGCTCTGACCATTTTCCATGGACATGGCTTCAAAGCTGAAGGTTCTGACCAATTGTCTCAATTGCGGAAAGGCGTGAACGATAGATGTTTAGTGGTGTGGGTAGAGACATGATACATATACATATATATGTGTATATATATATACACATATGAACTGCTGAAGCGGTTGCGTCAAGTGCTTGGAAGGTGGTGGTTGAGCAAGAAGGCCTGCAACTTGCAAGACCGCCATCGCCATGACTTTCCTGTGACTCATTGAATCCGAGGTTGGGGTCCGTGCTTGTTCTGCGGGAACCCGTTGGAGGCAATGGCTGTTGCGATATGTTGCTAAGCTGGCAGCTGGTTTTTCGTCGCCTTGCCCGGTGTCTCGCTTTTGCATTGCCCGGAAGTGGGGACACACGTGCTTGTTGGGGCCTGGTGCTCGTGTTCTCGCTTGCTAGTGTCTTCCTCGTAGGTGGGTCGGCGTAGCAGACATGTGTTTTCTTCTCGCGTCTTCCTCATAAGTCGGTTGGAGTGCCTTCTTGAGTATGTGTCAAATGCACATATGCTTGAGTTCTTGACGGCTTGAGAATCCATCAACAAGATTTTGCAAGTGATTCCAGTGTGCCTCAGCAGGCTGGAGATCGGAGGACAGGCATCAAGAGAGGGGATGAGCGAGGTCGACTAGACGTCGATGGGAGGCCCATTTCCCGCATTGTTTGGCATTTCTTTCGCGGAGGTCTGGGGAGTGGAAATCAGCACTTGAGGCCAGATGATGACGAGGAGCGCTACAACGCCTCGTTCCAGCGAGCAGTAGCCACCAAGGACAATTGACCTCAATTCACTGAGCTTGCTCTCTACAATGCTGGAGCATGCTGGAGCAAGGGTGCCGGTTTGCGAGGATCGGCTTTTGAGCTATGATCGGGATGCAAAGCGAAGAACCAAGGCTGCTCTGAGCGGTGTGCTGTGATGTGCTGTGATGTGCTGTGATGTGCTGTGATGTGCTTTGATGCGTGTACAGGTGTATGATGATGCGACGGACTGGTATTCCGAAGCTGCCAACCCATGGCTTTCGGAGAAGCAGAGAGAGGAGGAGCGGGCACGTTATGGCACGCTGTGGCACGTTTTGGCACGTTGTCGATCGTTGTCGCATGTTGTCATCTTTTTGTCTCCCCAGGCAAAAGCCAAGGGACAGGATGAGGAGACTTTGCCTTGTGTGCCGCTGTATGCCCCTGATGGGATTTAAACATGCTGTGCCAACATGAGCTTGTGAAGCGGCAGTGAGAAGGCGAGAGAGTGCCGGGTTAAAGAACAGCATTCGGGAGTTGCTGTGAACAAGTCTTCACAAAATGCAACAGACGTTGCCGGAAGTCATGTGTCCGAAGAAGAGCTCAATCGCAGTGGGTTGACAGCAAGTCTTGGCAATGTTTGTTTGGTCCGTTGCTGTTGAGGAGAGGCGTCGGAGGGAGGAGCGGCGGAAGATTCACGCCACCATCGACATCTTCGGCTTGAAGCCTACAATTTAAGATCCTGTGAGTGTGAGAATTTTGTGGTTGGAAGGGCTCAATATTTGTCATCTCTTATTGGTCCATGTGATTGGGCCAATCAAGTTGGCCGTGCGAATTGGAATGGTAAGTAAAGGAGCGGCCTCGCGACAGTTTCAAAACACCAGGCTCAAAATCTGTCAAAAACCCAATAGCCTGTATTCACTTTTGACCCAATTGCCACCAAACAATGATGTCCTGCTAAGATTAGTGTTGCAAATGTTTTGCATTTTCGGTGCTACTCCTGTTGTCTGTTGTGATGGCAAGGAGTGTGCGATAGCAACTTTGATATCGGTTTGCTTGGCCAATGTCTGCCAGAGGTCGGACCGTCATCGACACCAGCGCTGAGGTTGAGGCTCGTGTACATGCGTGCAGCCGACACGAGCTTGCGCGGCGAAATGTGTGTGTGTGTGTGGTGTAAGTGTGAGTGTGTGTGTGTGAGTATTTGTGTGCGTGCGTGAGTGTGTGTGTGTGTGTGAGCAGCTTCACTCCGAACTCCTAGTTGTTCATGCAAATCATGTGGAAACTGCTGCGCCGTTGAAGGCCGAACTGAAGAAGAAGGATGCTTGGGAAGAAATGTCAAGTGTCATTGGCAGAGCATGGAGACATGGAGACTGGCATGTTCCAGTCGTGCAAGTCTGAAGCTGAGGACCGAGAGGTGTTTCAAGATTGGACAGAGGGCGTGACTTTGGCTTGCATTAGCAAGTCCGAGCAGGTTGTGTTGGCAAAGTGCAGACTGTGCTCAATTCCTTCCCTTCTATTGTCAGACCACGAAGAATCAGCGCCTCTTGAAGATGCTGGAGGCAGGCAGCGTGGAATAGCGCAGAGCAGTCAATTTTTGCTGAGGGGAGCAGATTTGACATTGTCTCTTTTGGGTGATTCTGTTTGTTATGTGACGTGCAGTTCCCTGGCCCAGAGAGTAGATTGCAGAACTTACTGTCCACTGCCCAGCATGGTTCATCAACCGTGACTTGGATCATGCTGTAAGTCTTAGTGACTTAGTGCCGGTGCCAAGACGATGAGCAGAGAGTACATGTCATAGCATGGCAGTCATGAGTCCAGTGCTGACACGTGCTAAGATGAGGACAGATGGCAGCCAGTGCCCTGGCAGCATTGTCGAGATCAAGAACACGTTCATCCACATCACGGCGCCGCCGCCCGAGCCAGAGGAGCTCAAGCGTGGACGCACGGCTCCACCACAGGTTCACGAGGAGTCTGTGGAGGTAAATATGATCCGGGAGCCTGAAGCCGAGCCAGCTGCAGAGCCTCTAAATCTTCTTCCAGACTCGGGTGATGTGATCTTTAGGCTTCCAGACTTCAGTCCTGCAATGAATGGGACGGAGATGATTGTGGCCCCTCCATGCCCTGATGTGCTCTGTCGTCATACCACCCATGACGTCTTCGAGAATGGTGGCATTTGGCCATACCATTGCCAAGAAGATGTGGGACTTCTGGAGGGACAAGAAGGACTGGCCTTCAATGCAAACTACGATGGTCACGGGAACCAAGGACAGATGGACTACTTGCAAGGTGTGCAAGGTGTGCAAGGGGCCTGGGAGGGACAGGTTGAAGGACAGGGAGTCCAGACGGCGGAGGTGATGCATCCAGCACCAGGTACAGCGGTGTTCGTCTGGCTCTCAGCACGCAGGGCTGCTTTAAGAGTGACAACAGTGACAACTGCCACCAAGAGTTCGAAGTTCTAACGATCTCAAGAGCTGCAGTAAGGTCTTGCACCCTCCTCCGTGCATGGCTCCAGATGTTGGCTTCGGAAGTCCCCAGTCCTACCTGGTGCCTGTGCACATCAACCCCATGGGTATGAGTCCTGACAATCTTGATTGGCGGATGCAAGCCATGCAATCACCAAATTGGTCGGCAGATAGTCCCCCTGCAGAGCTTCCATTCGCGCCAGTTGTGCCCATGCACAACAGCTTTTTTCCAGAGGCAGGTGATCAGAGTGAAGCTGCCAACCAGAGCGCCTTCACCACGTTCCGCAAGGAAGACTTGCTCCCGGAGCGTGATGAGAATCCCGTTCCACTTGCGCTCTCAGAGCATGACAAGTTCTGGGATGGACTTGGGGTGGACCTGATACACCAGCCTCAAAAGATTGGTAGGTCTCCGACCATGGAGCACGTGTACTGGGTCGTGGATGCCAACAAGCTGAACGACAAGGCCAAGGTCTTGGTCTCGCCGGAGTTCAAGGTGGTGTCTGAGAGTTCTCTGCCATTGAGCTTCAAGATGGTGATGTACCCGAAAGATCGAACCTCTTTTCGCCAGGCCAATGGGCAAGGATTTGTACAGTTGAAATGTGAGAGTGACACTCAAGACTTGAAAGAGTGTTCCCTCTCCTTCCGCCTTGCCATTTGCAATGGCCGCTCCGGCGATCAAGCAAAGAGGGATGGTCCCGGGAAGCCGGTGACCTGGGATTTCAAGAGGAGCCTAGTCTGCGACGACGACGAGGCACGGCGATGTACACTGAGCGTGCTTGAGCTCCCTCTTTCCGTCTCGTATCTTCTCTGGGTGTTCGTCGTCGCGTAGTGGGATGTTGCAGGAGACGAGAGGGTCCTTGTCCATACAGCTTTTCATGCCTCTTTTTGCTGGCGAGGTCAAGAAGATTTGGAACTTCAAAGACGTTGTCGACAAAGAGACCAGGACTTTTGCAGCTGCCCGGCAGCAGTCGGCACGGCGTCTTGTTGTAGTCTGTTTGATGCATACTTGTGCCAGGTTTGCATCGAAATTCTGTCGGCGGTGGCATCGAAGCCCTGAGCACGTGGCAGCATGCGGCAGACCCTACAGGCAGAGCGATTGGCGACCGGCAGTATGTTTCACAGCCTAGAAGTCGAAAGTGCATGTTCTGACAGGTGGAATGCATGGTTTTTGCGTTGCAGAGTCGCCAAGCTGTGCTCCTCGGCTGCTGGGTGGCTGCTCTCTGCTCTGCATTGCGCAGTTGAGATGTTCTTGGCTGTGACTCAGGATTCTGCCAGACCTTGCTTTCAATGCACAGCCCAAAGTCGTGAATTGACTTGGAAAACTTGTAAAGCTGCCGTCCAGCAGGTGGGCACTGAATTTGTGCCCTGCACCTTGTGTAGTTGGGACTTCGAGTGCAATCGTCTGATCCCTCTGGAGTTCGCCTCTAGAACGTTCGCCTTCTGAATGGCACTCCGGCAACAGGTTTGCAAAACAAGTCCGTTATAGGCTCGTCATCCTATGAGTGCAAGGCGCTAGAGTCACTGGTACTAGTATTAGTTGCCTATGGCTACTTTGCTGGAGCAACCCTGCGTCGACAAGACCAGGGACAGGATTTTTGCATTCAGGGCTTCAAAATCAACTGTTCAGATTGTTCAGGTCTCAACAGTCTCAAGACTAGTTTGAATTGAAATTCGTCGCACCATGTCCAGTACCTGTGGCGCAGCACTGCTGCCTCCGAAAGCTCTGGCCTGAAAAGGTTGCTGCTGTTTCTGCTAGGCGTTCGCCATCGTTCATGAGGCAATCTCATGTTTTGCAAGGGACATGTGCTTAACGGGAGACAGATCAGGAACAACGTGGCATTGGTGGCGCAAATGTTCAGATGTCTGACGAGTCGCAAAAACTCTATGAGAGGTGCGGCTGTTGAAACTTTGACGAGTTGGGGTTCGAATGAAACGTAGTCACCTTGGAATGGCTATGACTGATTCAACAATGAATCCCCCACAAGGCTGCGTGCAGCTCTCCACGCCACTGGCAGGGCGAGGAGCTGAGGCATAGACTGGGTTCTACCGCAGTCCACCCGTACATGGATAGGCACAATCAATGAACAAGGCACGGGTGAGATTCTGAGAGCAAAACGGGTGAGTTCGCGGACTGAGGACAAGAGCTTAGAGAGCCTCAAAGCCGCCAGGCCGGGGGACGGAGGCTGGACCATGTGAAGTGGGGGAGGAATCGCAGCATTAGCAGCGTTTGCAGCATTTGCAGCATTTGCAGCATGCGCAGCATTCGCAGCATTCGCAATATACGCAACATTCAGGATCTAGCTCCCCTCGTCCCTGCTTCTGGCAGGGACGGATGGAAGAAAGACCCGTAGCTGGAACGTAAGTGGAGGTGATCGTGTGGAGGTGCAATGATTGCGAGCCAAGACGGGAAAGATCCTCTCACGGGGTACATATCTAGCGAGCAGTGTCGAGCACTTGTCACTTGTCAGGATGAGTTCTCCAACATCACTCTCCGTGATTTCACTGGCAGCGAAAGGCCTCTGCTGCCCGCCGAGGATTGGCACGAAGCGCATGGCATTTTTCAAGGAATGAGCTGCATCACCGGGTTGACTGCTCTCATTAGGACAGACGTGTAGTTGCTGTTTGCAGACTGTTCTGGGCTGGACTCGGTGCGTCGGGGTGTGTGTATGTGTATATGTGCGTGCGTGTGTGTGTGTGTGTGTGTGTGTGTGTGTGTGTGTGTGTGTGTGTGTGTGTGTGTGTGTGTGTGTGTGTGTGTGTGTGTGTGTGTGTGCGTGTGTGTGTGTGTGTGTGTGTGTGTGTGTGTGTGTGTGTGTGTGTGTGTGTGTGTGTGTGTGTGTGTGTGTTCGTGTGTGTGTGTGTGTGTGTGTGTGTGTGTGTGTGTGTGTGTGTGTGTGTGTGTGTGTGTGTGTGTGTGTGTGTGTGTGTGTGTGTGTGTGTGTGTGTGTGTGTGTGTGTGTGTGTGTGTGTGTGCGTGCTGTCTCAAAGTTAAGGTTGTTCGTGACATACCGAAAGACCATACAATTTAATAGTGGAAATGTAAGGATGAAAGACGCATGATTTCCATATTAAATTTGGTCTTTTAATGTGCGCAATGAAGTGAATTAAATAAACAGTTCATGTAGTCACGCTACATTCACACTAATAATTTGCCTGTGTTGTGTTGTAAGAGCGCGCCAAATAAAAGATATGAAGTACGCGCATTAATATTATTGTAAGCATACTGTGCGCACGAAGTCAATAAAAAGTGTGAGCGCAACGAACAAGACCAAGGGAGCATTTGTAATGTGTGTGTGAGTGGGTGTGCGTGGGTGTGTGTGTGTGTGTGTGTGTGTGTGTGTGCGTGTGTGTGTCCGTCCCGTGTCCTGCGTCTGTGTCTGTGTCAGTGTCCGTGTGTTTGTCTGTCCCGCTGTGTCTGCATGAGCGTAATTCACCACTTGTGCTGTTTTTGCTCAAGGCTGCCAGCAGGCTGCTAGCCTCATTTGTTGCCATGTTCGGCTCGAGTTCGGTGGAGGTGAGATTATCACAATTGGAAGCGGCCATTTCAGACATCAAGCAGGTCAATGCAGATGCTTCTTGTCCCTGTCATGTCCGCAGCATCAGCCTGTAGGGTAATGGCGTCGCATGCTGTCGCAGCCCAGGTCATAAAGCGTCTCGAGCATTTGGAGCTCGAGACGCATGCGCGAACACCCCAAGCTTTACATCCAGGCTCACGGGGCCGATGTGGCTGATCGTAGGATAAACAATTCGGCTGCTCGCCCCTTCTTTGCGAGGTGCTCGCGGGGATGCCAACGGAGACATCGAAGCCAGTGATGGGTCCTCGTCCTCTGAGAGCGATCTGGTGCCCTGCCCGAGCTGAAACGTGTTTCCCTTTTGAAGTGGAAGAGGACGGAAGAGGATGGAGGAGGAAGCAGGGAGGAAAGTCCCATCCTCCACCATTCTTGGATGCGAGCGCGTGGAGCCTTCGCAGGACTAGGGGCTCTTGCAGCCCCAAGAAAGAAACACAAAGAGATTCTGGGGAAGAGCAAAGAACAAGCAGGTGTAGAAAATGATGGCCGCAGCAAAGTCCGGGCCCAGACGAGATCATCCACGAAGCACTGCGCAGAAAGGTGCAACATGACACATGGCGGATTGCGATCCTTTCAACGACTACCTTGATAGCCCAAAAATCACGAGTTTTTGGTGTTTCTGATGCCTGCAAGGCTGTGTCCGCAACAAAACAAGTGTTCTCTCCTGGGTTTCGCACACACCGTTTCTTCAAAAAATCGATGATTTTTCTAGAGGCACTGCCCGTAAGAGGTCGACACCATTTTTTGTTTCGCAGGTGTGTTTTCCATTCCAGCCGCCCACACCCTGGCTTTGGCATGCTCTGACTCGGTGACGTCGGAGCACATGACAGGGTCCCAGCAATGTCTCAGAAAAATTCAACATGTGTCCATTTGAGGGCAGCGGGGTGGACTGGGCATCTGGCAAAAACGCGTGAACAGAACAGCATTTGAAGTCCTGCATGAAGAATCGGGGATGTTGTCGTGATCATGCATCTGAGGTGGCGAGGCCCTACGAGACCAAAGGCACGGGGATCACGGACCATCCCGTGCAGAGTGCTGAAGGCTACGTCTTCGAGGAGAACTGCTGGGACGTCGTGGTTTGCTTCGGACACCCGGCCATCGGTTATGCCTCCTCGATGTTGCTGTTGCTTCTTGTCGTTGCAGATTACTGTGAGGAGACACGCCAGTTGCAATCAAGCGCACGTGCTTTTTTCAGAAACAGTTCCTTAAGCGCTGCTCAGGCTTCTTCTGGGCCTGACAATTTTTTTGCAGTTGGTGTTCTGCTACATGGTCGCCACCAGCTTCACGGAGAATCCCTACGACACATCCTCGCAGAATGCTTTGAGTTATTGGCGTATCGATATGGCCCACAAGGCCAGCCAGGTGTCTCAAAACTCCTTGACTTCCCTGGCTTCCCGGGCCTGTGGTTTCGATAAGGCTTTGGCCACCTCCTTCAGCGAGAAGGAGATTGCGCAGAATATCTCCGAATATGGATTCTCCTTTTTGAGCACAGGTTTCATCATGTGTGCTTTGGCTTTGCTCACCTGGTTTGCAACCATCATTGCAGAATATGGGAAGCTTTTCCACTTCGCACTTGGCCTTGCGGAAGTTCCTCGAGGACACACCATCTTCCATTTGGAAGAGGACCAGATCGTTCTTACGAAGTTGTCTCGCAAGCGCTTGTCATTCATCCTGACAACGGTGTTGGCACGGGCAGCTGTCCAGTCTATCCTGCTATGGTATGGCACACTGTACCTGGTGTACACAGAAACGGTGCAAGATTTGCTCCTCAACGCCGTTGCTTTGAAGTTCGTTCTGGAAGTGGCTGAGCTGCTCTACTCAGCCTTTGCCCCAAGGCGTGCGCGCACGTTCATTGAGAGCTTGAAGCCCCTGAACTTGGAACTTATGGGCCGCAGTCATCACGACTGCATGCTTCCTTCAACCCTTTTGATTATTCTTTGCGTCATGCTGGCCTTGTCATATGTCTTCTTGCTAACGCCTGCTCTTGAAGCCCGGTCAAAGACATGGGAAGGCCTGTGCGGAGGCCGCCAGGACTTTGCAGTTGCCACAGATGGTTTGGGACGCCTCCACTGGAGTCTGACCGACAAGTACGACGACACGGGGGAAGCACAGAGTACATCCTATGTGCACCAAGCAACAGATCTCCTTATCAAGGAGGAAGCGCCGGATGAGCAGAAACCTTGGAGCATCTACGTGTCCACATTCGACCGCTTGAGGAACAAGGTGGACTCCCAGAGTGTGGTGGAGGCTGGCGGTGCCCGGCTCTGCGAGGATGGAGACAACTACGGTGGCATCGACGAGTGGACCCACATGGGGCTCCTGATCCTGAAGATGGTGACGCACAACGAGTCCCTGACGGACTGTGCCTCCGTGGAGCCCTACTGCCACAAGGTCGGCATCCATGGCCTTCGAAGCCGCCAGTGGTGCCCGGTGACCTGCGGCTGCGCGAACCCGCGTGCCGGCTTGATGCTGGACCTAGGGTAGGGAATGGGGGAATAATTTGAATAATTTGAAAATAGGGGGGGAGGAGAAACTGAGGGATGAGTACAGGGGGAACAGTGGGGCTCAGTTTTGCTGCTCAGTTGCTGCTGCTCAGTAGAGTCATACAAGTCTAGATTTCACGGGCTTTTCGTAGTTTTCAACAGCATGCCCCTCGGCTCGAATGCAAGCGCACATGCAAATGCGCCAGGACAGAGTGGAGCAAGGCTGCCCCGCCTCTTGCGCCCAAAAGCTCGCCTCACTCGCAGAAGGCATCGAGTGCAAGGACAGTCCTCTGAACGAAACGCAGATGTATGCGAAGGGAGCAATGGCGATTTTCAAGCAGCGGGGCTATAAGTCCCACGCCTTGGAGCTCCTAGCAGATCGCATGGTTGATCAGGGATGCTTTGCTGTTGCCTACGGGGGCACTGCGGGCCGAGATCTCTGTGTTGGCAGCACAGAACTGATCAGCAGGGTAAGCTTCCGGACCGTGAAGATGGTCTGTCCTGTAGCCTGTGGCTGTGACGGCAGCGGTCTACCTGGACACAAACGGGATATGTCAACTGTTGGGGCAGTTGGGTCCGGACTTCGAATCAGAGGAGCCTTAGCCGCCTCAGCTTAAGCCCACGACTGGACATTGTGACGTCCCCTTGAGTCTTTTTTGGGATGCTGCATTTCGCAACTCAAGGAGTGTGCCCTGAGCAAGGCCAGATGCGATGGGGACAGCAATGCAGTATGTTCGCGCCAGTGTAGCTGCTGTAGCTGCTGTAGCTGCTGCAGCTGCTGTAGCTGCTGCGCAAGTGTCGCCAGGCTGGCTGAATGACACTAGGTTTGCCCCACACGGTGCTGCCGGAAGCGGTGCACCTGTCTTTCTGAATGAAGAGGGTGATGCACTGAGTATACTGAGTTGAGGCACAAGACACAAGAGGCTCGCATGCCCTGCTGCACTTTCCCCGCTTTGCTATTGAGGTCAGATGTACTTATATCATGGGCCAAATTGTGCCCCAGGCTCTGTTGGAACACGTTGGATCTTGCGCCTTTGCCGCAATACCGCGATACTCGGTTGCTGGAAGTGGGGCTGAGCCTTCAGAAATCCTTTCCCCAAGGAGTCCGACGCTGTGCAATGCTGGGTACTACGTGGCCTATACCGTCGACGCCGACTCCACCAGGTGTGGAGCTGCATCAAAATGTCGGATGGTCATTGCGTCCCGCTTAAGGCCCCCAGCAATGGCGACATGGTTCATGGACTGTCGCCATTCTGGATGGCAAGAGCTTCGGGCCTAAAAACCCCTGTCTGCAAGCTTGCAAACCGTGACCACCGTATAGTCTCTGCAGCCTCTAGTGGCGTCATGTCGGGCGTCCCAGTCAGCTAAGGCTGACGCGCCTCGGAGCACTGATGCGTTATGTGGGTGATTCAACGGGCATGCTACCAGAGGAGTCTAGATTCCAGGCCCTCCAGTTTTTTTGTTTCATGTCATGCTGTTGTA